CTTTTGCCATTTTTGTTTGTGCTTTTCTGTACTTCTCGTACGAATTCAAAGTCGATGCCGTAATCTTGCGAATGGCAATGCGTCCCAGGAGCTCAGTACCAATGCCGAGCTCCTGCCACTACTGCCATGACGAGAGGGCTTGACCAGGGAAAGAGTTGGTGTCGTGTCCGCTGTTCCTCTTCCATTGAAGGAGCGCAAACCACAGTGGGGGGGTGGGGGAGGGGTCTCAATGTCCTGATAGTGGCATTGTCTTTGTGCTGTTCGCCTTTTGGCGTCCCCTGGTCTAACACTGTTTGAGACTAGGCTGTAATGAAAGCTGCCTCGTCATATCTTACCAGAGCTTGTTGTTTTGTTTGCGCGTTCACCACAAGCAGTGCGTGTGGTTAATGCAGACAGGATTCCCTACAGAAGGTTTCTGTTTGGTGTTTTAACATCTTGACACGGCTGCGTTTATTGCCAGATAGGGTCAAACCCTATCCTTATATTACGCAGTGGCTGTGTTCACTTTGCGCTTCATAGTTTGGTCTGCATAGCCACAATCACACTGCGGTGGCTTAGGGGCCGTCCATAAATGACGTCACGCACCTGGGGGGGGGGGTCAGACATTTGTGACGATGTGTGACGAGGGGGGGGGGTTTCAGAAATATGACGTCACATCAAAGTGCGTAACTTTAAATAAATATAGACAACACGTTCTACTTTATTAAATAGACTTTTTAATAAATGTTTTCTCCTACAACATCAGAGTGCAGCGCCACATTAAATACGCACTACAATGACAATAGTTTAAAGCGATTTGAAGCTTTTTTTTGGGGGGGGGGAGGGGGGGCAGAGCTTTGTGACGTCATAATTGAGGGGGGGGGGGGTCTGACTTTTTGTGACGCCGTGTGACGAGGGGGGGGGGGGGTCAAAAATCGTTCAAAATAGCGTGACGTCATTAATGGACGGCCCCTTATCTCTGATTTTCCATTTTCTGTGATGTGGTGCAGCATGAGTCCGCTGTTGATGTTCTGATGAAGCGGTTGAATCTCCACGGGTGACTTCGAAGAGCAGGATGATTGTCAAATCCAGGAGGATGTGCGATGATGATTGAGATGTTTATTCTGGACGCCTGAATTGTTCCAGCAGCAGCAGTAGCAGCAGCGTCCCTCTGGGTCTGGGCGAGATTCTGGGATAAAATTGTACGTTAACATTACGCTTCTTTAATCAGAAAAGCCTCGCCGAATCAAGCAGAATAAGAAGTTGTGAAGAAATGTATTTCCCGAGTAAAGCTCGTCGAGCTGAGAAGCTCAATTTCAATCGCGACTCGCCCAACAGACGACATCAGAGCAGCCTATAAACTTCCCGATTTGATAAATTAAACTATTTTTTTTATTTTACCACGTAAGGCCCACTGAACTATGTCGCTCTTTTTCAGAATCCACCTGGCTATCACAGATGACGGGTCAACGAAGTGGACTGTCATTATTGCGTGGAAATTAATAGCAGCCATATGACTCTAAACGCGTGGTGATGTTGATTCTCAATGTGAGAGGGGAGAAACCGGAGGACCCGGAGAAAAATCCACGCGGGGAGAGAGACACCGCAGACTCCCAAATAAACAGCAGCAGGCGTCAGGATTTGGATCGAACCCACGACCTCCTGCATACCAGGCGAGGTAGTCAACATCTCCTAGCCACCGCCCATCCCAACAACTCCTCGCTATCCAGGCTCAACCCCCTACTCGGCTACAACATCGGGCTCGTTCCAACGAAGAAAATGTACACAAACACCCCGACAGTAGACGCGTACTGCACATATACAGCACATACACTTGCCCCACGCCTCGGAGGCACCGTCATTTCTGTGATTGTGAACAAAAAAAATGCGCTAAAATTCAAAAATTTGTTAAATTTACAACAATTAATGCAAACATTGTTTTAATACAGTACCGTTTAATAATCATCTTTTATTTAAAGCGACCGATCAAACGAGCACCCCCCCAAATGTGCCACTTCCTCCATCGATTAAAACCCAGCCGAACGAATTACAACAATCACCGCAATTACAACAATCACCGCAATTACAACAATCACCGCAACATGAATCACCACCACGACCTGGTACGAGAATCGGTCCATGAGAGCAAACACGTGGTGCTGAGGTACACTAAGCCCGGGGGTGGGGGGAGTGGGTGGGTGGGGGGCTGTAGTAGGGGGCTGTCGTGGCTGGGGAGTGGGGGGCTGTAGTAGGGGGCTGTCGTGACTGGGGGTGGGGGGCTGTAGTAGGGGGCTGTAGTAGGGGGCTGTCGTGACTGGGGGGTGGGGGGCTGTAATCAATGAGCACGGCTGGCGACGTACGGTGCGACGGAAGTTCAACGTACGTACACGCGACGTACGAGATGAAGAATCCACTCGGATCTCTCGGGAAGCGGTGAGACCCTTCCGAGTTTAGAGAAAAAAACGACCCCACGGAAAAGAGGAAGCCGCGGATCGAACCTCCGAGAGTTCCTTATTCCGGTGATCCCCGGCACGAGCCCAAGGAGGGACAAACCCTTCGCACCGCTCTTGGGCCGAGACAAACGCTCGTCGCACGGCGGTCCGACCAATATTTTTGTACGTTCTCACCAAAGCTGCAACTTCAGGCAGATTAAGTGCAGCACCAGATTTACTGCGGTGGTGTTTGTGCAGCTATCGGTGACCAGACTGAATTAAAAACTGGATGAGGGCGCTACGGTGGCTAGGAGATGTTAACTACCTCGCCTGGTACGCAGGAGGTCGTGGCTTCGATCCCGACCCTGACGCCTGCTGCTGCCGCTGTAGATTTAGAGTTTTGCGAGTCTCTCTCTCCCCGTGGTCGCGTTGATTTTTCTCTGGGTCCACCGGTTTCTCCCTCCACATTTCCCGTATAAACCGAAGTGAAAATCGCAATTAATTTATTTTTGGCGACTCCGTCCCACCGCAGACATAAACGCCACGACCCACCGGAAATCGATCATCTCCTCGTTCTTCACCAAGCACCCGTCGTTACCAAAATTGCCGTAGTCATAAACACAAAAACTTTTAAACTTTGATTAGCGCATCGTGCAGAGCTCGTCGAGAGGAATAGATCGCCGTGTCGTTCGCCTTCAACAGACGTAAAATGACGTCGCAACGCAGTTCATGCGAGAGCCGGGGGGCTTATGGGATCGCGGGGTCCCGCCATGAGGTTCAAATCTCCACGTGATGACAAGCCACAGGTCTCTTCTGAGAAAGAGCGACATGGATCAGTGGGCCGTACCTGGTAAAATAAAAAGGACCGAGGTTGTGTGTGTGTGTAACGGCTAGGTGGCGCCACTCCGTGCGCCTTTACACCCCCTAGCACGTGCTCGCTAACAACAATTGCGTCTTCACGGTTTGCTACGTACGGTGCGAAAAAAAGTTCAACATTCGTACATACACTCGGTACGGGCAGAACGGCAAAATCATTGCGCCAACAGTAACCTTACGGTGAGCATCGATAAGCGGAAAGGTCTTAAACGTTACATGAACAAAAATGCGTTACATTTTGTACGATACAAAAGCCTCGTCTCATCCGAGGCAAAACCTGTCTCATCCGATACGGAACCCGCATCCCTTTTGATTTATCCGACGTCATTTCCCAGAACTGCAGACTTAAACTTGGGCGTGTGATTTTCACATACTTGTCATACACTAAAGAGACGATGGAACTTCCGTCACAGCCAACACTCAACCCTTTGCCTGGGCTTGCACAAAACAGCGGTCTCACCCGATATAGAGATCGCATCTCACGCAATATGTAAACCCTTGTACCATCCAATACAAACCGCGAGATATATACCAATTACAATTATCTAAATATACAGAATCCTTACTCCCGTTCCATACAGAACCATGAAGGTGCTTTGGCTTGGACAATCATGCTCACGTGTAAATATTAACTGTACAAAGCCTGATTCGAAAGAGGCCTTTGATATATGACAGTTGTGATTATGTGCATTTTTTTGAAAACATTTTTGATTCATTAGAGATTGCAACATGGATCAGTGTTGAGGTTGTGGGTCAGCGTTGAGGCTGTGGGTCAGTGTTGAGGTTGTGGGTCAGGGTTGAATCTGTGGGTCAGTGTTGAGGTTGTGGGTCAGTGTTGAGGTTGTGGGTCCGTGTTGAGGCTGTGTCAGTGTTGAGGCTGTGTGTCAGTGTTGAGACTGTGTATCAGTGTTGAGGCTGTGAGTCAGTGTTGAGGCTGTGGGTCAGTGTTGAGGCTGTGGGTCAGTGTTGAGACTGTGTATCAGTGTTGAGTCTGTGGGTGAGTGTTGAGGCTGTGGGTCAGTGTTGAGGCTGTGGGTCAGTGTTGAGGCTGTGGGTCAGTGTTGAGGTTGTGGGTCAGTGTTGAGGCTGTGTCAGTGTTGAGACTGTGTGTCAGTGTTGAGTCTGTGGGTCAGTGTTGAGGCTGTGGGTCAGTGTTGAGACTGTGTGTCAGTGTTGAGGCTGTGGGTCAGTGTTGAGACTGTGTGTCAGTGTTGAGGCTGTGGGTCAGTGTTGAGGCTGTGGGTCAGTGTTGAGGCTGTGGGTCAGTGTTGAGGTTGTGGGTCAGTGTTGAGGCTGTGTGTCAGTGTTGAGGCTGTGGGTCAGTGTTGAGGCTGTGTCAGTGTTGAGACTGTGTGTCAGTGTTGAGTCTGTGTGTCAGTGTTGAGACTGTGTGTCAGCGTTGAGACTGTGTCAGTGTTGAGGCTGTGTCAGTGTTGAGGCTGTGTCAGTGTTGAGGCTGTGTGTCAGTGTTGAGACTGTGTCAGTGTTGAGACTGTGTGTCAGTGTTGAGGTTGTGGGTCAGTGTTGAGGCTGTGTCAGTGTTGAGGCTGTGGGTCAGTGTTGAGGTTGTGTGTCAGTGTTGAGACTGTGTGTCAGTGTTGAGACTGTGTGTCAGTGTTGAGGCTGTGGGTGAGTGTTGAGGTTATGTGTCAGTGTTGAGGCTGTGTCAGTGTTGAGTCTGTGGATCAGGGTTGAGTCTGTGTCAGTGTTGAGACTGTGTGTCAGTGTTGAGTCTGTGTGTCAGTGTTGAGACTGTGGGTCAGTGTTGGGGCTGTGTGTCAGTGTTGAGACTGTGTCAGTGTTGAGGCTGTGAGTTCACGTTGAGGCTGACGCATTAATAGAAGAGAGTGCATCTGAAAGCCGCCCCACCATAGCGCAAATCAAAGGCAAAGAAACATCACGAGGGGCTCCGACTCCCAGGGCACAGCTCGTGACGCGCGGCCACAGTTCACAGTTCACAACCCCAGATACCCGGCATCCCCTTGTCTCACGCGTTGACTCCTCCAGTGCACTCCGCTCAGGGCTCGCCCTCTCGAAGCCGTCGGTTAAAACGCGGAGCCTGGGTCTGAGATCGGGGACCGGGGTGGGCGTGAGAGAGATAGCGACACCGGACGGTCAAACGTGCCCGTGAATCAAGGGCAGTGAAACAACAGTTTAATTGGCTGCAGTACATAGGGCGTGTCCATAAGCATCCCGATCAATGTTCATTGAACTAATGGTATATATGTTTATCTTCAGGACCCTTCGTTCGTTCGTTCCTCAACCCGCTTTGTCCTGTCGAGAGTCGTGGCGGCAGCGTGTTGAGTAGTGGCGGTCAAGACCTCCCTTTCGCTGGCGACAGACTCCAGCACTACTACACGATACACTACTACACTATACACTATTACACTACACTATACACTACTACACTATAGCAGCGTGTTGAGTAGTGGCGGTCAAGACCTCCCTTTCCCTGGCGACAGACTCCAGCACTACTACACGATACACTACGACAACATACACTACTACACTACACTATACACTACTACACTATAGCAGCGTGTTGAGTAGTGGCGGTCAAGACCTCCCTTTCCCTGGCGACAGACTCCAGCACTACTACACGATACACTATACATTATACACTACTACACTACACTATACACTACTACACTATAGCAGCGTGTTGAGTAGTGGCGGTCACTAATACACGATACACTACACTGCACATTATACTATACACGACACTATATACTGCTAAACACTACACTACTATACATTACGCTACACGACTACACTATACTATACATTACTATACACTAATATACACGACACTACTATACACAGATTCCAGCTATTCCTGGGAGATTCCCAGACGTTCCCAGGACAGCCGAGCGACATCGTCCCGTCAGCAGCAGCGTGTCCTGGGCCGGCCCCGGGGTGTTCGCCCAGTGTGATGATGGCAACACTTTCGTTATTACGCAAACGTTGTTCGAGAGCAGCTCAAGGAACGTTTCACAAATCGTCGGATTTTGACGTGGCGAATAACAGGCCCCTGGACGGCTCCGTTTCTCCGGATTTAACGCCTTTAGGGTCTCTTCGCACTGGGGGCTTAATAAAAGTCAGAGGTGCATCGAACATGAGTCTACAGATCTGCAAGATTGTGCGAGATCGTATATATAGGGGGCGGCAGTTATGAAATAAATAACTTCACAGACGCCGCAAAAACGTGTTCTGCAATGCAGCCGACAGCTTTGAGCTGTAAGATATTGACAGTGCACGTGTAGAATCCAATGCTTAGGTGTTACTCAAATAAATATACCTCTGATTATATTATTGGATAATTTAACTTAAATTGCTTTGATTTCTACCTCGCTTGCTATACAGGAGGTCGTGGGCTCATTCCCGACCCTGACGCCTGCTGCTGCTGTATATTTGGAGTCTGCGTGTCTCTCTCTCATCATCATCACGGTGGCTAGGAGATGTTGACTACCTCGCCTGGTGTGCAGGAGGTCGTGGGCTCAATCCCGACCCTGACGCCTGCTGCTGCTGTATATTTGGAGTCTGCGCGTCTCACTCCATGTGGACGCATGGATTTTTCCTGCGGGTTTTCCCTCCACATTTAGAATCAACATCACGCGTTTAGAGTTTTTGGCTATACTGCTATACATTTCCACGCAATGATGATGATGATGAGCCCACTTCGTTGAACTATCATCTGTGATAGGCCAGGTCGCTTCTGAAAAAGAGCTACACGGCTCAGCGGGGCCTTAGCTGGAAAAATAAAACATAGTTTTGGTTTAAAAATAGATAGGGACTTACATAAAGGACACACTGTGTATTATGCATGTGCGCATATACAGTAAGTCCACGCTTTACCTTCAAGTGGAGCGGACGTTTCCATCTCCTTGACATCTGCAGCGAGATCAAAAAACACATTCACGCGGGGCATGAACAAGAAACGTCGTCGTCGTCGGCCATGATCTATCCACTGCTGGTCGAATCATCCCCCCCCCCAGGCAATCAATCACGATGACGTAATTCGTGACTTTTCCCAATAGCTAAAGCTGAGGGAGTGGTGGTGGTGGTGGTGGGATATTGTTATTTGCTTGAATGAATTAGTGGAGTGAATGATTTATGGTGTACAAATTGAGCTCGAGAGACGAACTCGTTACTTTTACAAGAGGAAATAAATGTTTGATGAGTTCATAGTACAAATTCGCAATATGTAATAATAACACATTATGATAATTATTAGCCTTCGGCCAATCAAAACCAGGGACGTGGTGTTCACGTGACATTCGTGCACGGCATTGTGGGCCCTTGTGCCACAGGCGGCGGTGGTGATGATCATGAACGATGACGATGGCGTTGACGATAAGCGGTGATTATTATCATGAACACCATTGGCCAGTTCAACAAGAATTACAACGGTAATTATTGAGGCGCGCGATTCTTAGTCTCCCTCTGGGGAATTTGGGGCAAAGTTCAGAAGAATCCGAAGTTTATTTCCCACCGCGTAAAGCCCCTCTCTGAAGCTCTTTTTCAGGGGCGACTGCGCGGGTAGACAACTTCAAAAGTGTTGCAGGGTTCAAGAGTTCACCGGTTAGAGTTGCCCAGTTTATACAAAGGCTCTTTAAACCCTCGAAGGTCAACATAGATCAGAGTGCAGGGCAAACGCGCGACGGCACTGCCCGGTGACAGTTCGTGATGATAATGTCGACTCGTGATGCTGCAACACCGCCACCACCACCACCACCGCCACCACCACCGCCGGCACCACCACCACTGCCGGCACCGTCACCACCGCCGCCACCACCGCCACCACCACCGCCACCACCACCGCCGCCACCACCACCACTACCACCATCACCACCACTGCCGGCATCACCACCACCACCGCCACTACCACCACCACCGCCACTACCACCGCCACTACCACCGCCACCACCACCACTGCCAGCACCACCACCTCCACCACCACCGCCACTACCACCACCACCGCACGGCACCCCCGCCCATCGCTCTGGTGGGGAGTCACAGGGGGGGGGGGGAGTTTCGAAGAAGGGGGGACGGGGAGGAGGAGGCAGTGCCGGATGACCCTCGTAGCAAAAGCAGCTCCATATGTAGCTACTACATATGGAGCACATATGTAGTAGTTCATAATACAAATTTGCAATATGTAGCTATCAATTCCGGTTTCTGTGATTCTGCACTTGCTCTATTACTGTAGTACTAGACTGCCTTCAACTTTTACGAACCACTGGGTGTTTAAGTTTAACGATTTGTCGTAATATCTTGCTGTATATCAAATAAAAAAATACAATTACTTTACTATGCAAGTTACAAATTTGTGTTTCAATGTGTTTTTTTTAAGGCCCCTTCATGATATATGCTACAGGCCCCGCACTCGCTTAATCCGGCACTGGGAGGAGGCGTTCAATTTCCGACCCCCCAAGGCTCCAATCACCAACTACGCAACGAGTGTGACGCGCAGTGTCTGGCTACAGGATCTTCATTTTTCTTCTGCTTCGTGCGGCTGCTGCTGATGATGATGCAGAGAGCAACAGCTGTAAGTTTTACATCGAGGTGGTTGACGGAGCCAGTGATGACGATGATCCCTCCTTCATATATTCCTCTGCGTGAGTCCATGGGTCTCTATGTCAGTCTATGGGTCTCAGTGTGAATCTATAGATCTCTGTGTGAGTCTATGGGTCTCTATGTCAGTACATGGGTCTCTATGTCAGTCTATGGGTCTCTATGTCAGTCTATGGGTCTCAGTGTGAATCTATAGACCTCTGTGTGAGTCCATGGGTCTCTATGTCAGTCTATGGGTCTCAGTGTGAATCTATAGACCTCTGTGTGAGTCTATGGGTCTCTATGTCAGTCCATGGGTCTCTATGTCAGTCTATGGGTCTCTATGTCAGTCTATGGGTCTCAGTGTGAATCTATAGACCTCTGTGTGAGTCTATGGGTCTCTATGTCAGTCCATGGGTCTCTATGTCAGTCTATGGGTCTCTATGTCAGTCTATGGGTCTCAGTGTGAATCTATAGACCTCTGTGTGAGTCTATGGGTCTCTTTGTCAGTCCATGGGTCTCTATGTCAGTCTATGGGTCTCTATGTCAGTCTATGGGTCTCAGTGTGAATCTATAGACCTCTGCGTGAGTCCATGGGTCTCTATGTCAGTCTATGGGTCTCAGTGTGAATCTATAGACCTCTGTGTGAGTCTATGGGTCTCTATGTCAGTCCATGGGTCTCTATGTCAGTCTATGGGTCTCTATGTCAGTCTATGGGTCTCAGTGTGAATCTATAGACCTCTGTGTGAGTCTATGGGTCTCTATGTCAGTCCATGGGTCTCTATGTCAGTCTATGGGTCTCTATGTCAGTCTATGGGTCTCAGTGTGAATCTATAGACCTCTGTGTGAGTCTATGGGTCTCTTTGTCAGTCCATGAGTCTCTATGTCAGTCTATGGGTCTCTATGTCAGTCTATGGGTCTCAGTGTGAATCTATAGACCTCTGTGTGAGTCTATGGGTCCCTATGTCAGTCCATGGGTCTCTATGTCAGTCTATGGGTCTCTATGTCAGTCTATGGGTCTCAGTGTGAATCTATAGACCTCTGTGTGAGTCTATGGGTCTCTATGTCAGTCCATGGGTCTCTATGTCAGTCTATGGGTCTGAGTGTAAAACCATAGATCCGTCTTCTACGATTGATTTTGAGGTAGAGCAACATTGAGGTGACTGATGAGCCGGATAATCGCGGAGAAGCGGAGTAGCGAATCATCGCTGCTGTGACGATGCCTCCTTCCTATCTGTGAATGGGGCGTCGAGTGGTTGCGAGTGTCCCCGTGATTCTGTTCTGGGTGGTGACCTCGGCCGTACAGCTCAGGGGTGGAGAGACGAGACAGGCGATTCGTAAATTTGGCGTCGGGAGCGAGGAACGAGAGGAATCGTCAAGAGATTAGAAAAGAACACCTTTTTTTTTCTTAATAAAAAAAATCTCGCATCACCTTCTGGTGAAACGGAAGTTTCTGCGGCATCTGCAGAAACAGAACACGAAAGCCCATTTACACAGGACACAAACATTAACTATCATCGTCAGCAGCCACGATCTATCCACTGCTGGATGAAGGCCCCTCTCTCGCTCCGCCCCCCCCACCCCGCAAGCCACCGCCACCGTCCATTCCGAAACGGCTCCCGGTGCTTCGACGCGAAGCTCCGTTCTCCGGCACCTGCGCGCGAGGCGATTTCACCGCTCCTTCTCCACGGCGGCCGTGACCCCGCGCGCGAACTCTTCGCCTGCCACATTGCCAATAGCCTCGGCCACCAGCCAGCTGCGGTCACAACGCGCCACTCACAAACGGAGTCCAAAAGACGACGTTCAGACCGCCCGTCGCGTCACCGACGCTCCCCGTTGCGGCCTCGGCGGTCGTCAGTGGAAACGGGCATCCCCTCGAGGGCAAGCCAGCGGCGGTTATTCGAGGTGCGCACGCGTGCACGTACCAGCCCGATATGTAACGATCGCAGCCCGATCGCGATCGTCCAAATATCGTGTTTGTTCTTAACTCAGAATAATAACGCCACGGGAACCTCAGCTTAACGCACCCCGCAGCGTCAACACGGGGGCGGCCCAAGAGCTGCACCGGCCGGCAAGCGCGTCACCGGCTGGGCCCCGCGACCCCGCCCCAATGCAATCGTGGGAACGTGGAATTTCCGCCAGCGGCTCAGGATGTCCGCCGGGGGCGTGGGAGAGTGGTGGGGGGGGAGGAGCTCCGCTGGACGTTGGCTCGGCTCAGGGTAACGACTGAACGCGGCATTGCGAACTTTACACGCTGGGGAACGTTCCGGCGAGCCGGGTAGCGAGTTACCGGCGCTTGACGAGGACGGCGCCATCTCCGTCATCTCTGCAGGCAAACATCCGCACAGCGCCGGGCATCAGAGTCGCCGTTGAGTCGGCGCAGAATTCTCTAAGAGGCACCCATAGGGCCCCCGCCCGTCTCTATAACTCTGGACGGTCTGTTCTCCGATAACGTGGCAGTAGTAGTTGCGCTCCTGAAGAACAACCCCTTGTGGAAAAATCACGTGACTATAAATGATATTGATATATATATAAAACGCGCGATGGTGCGTACGCAGGCCGGACAAAGAGGCCTCGTGCGGTGACGCTACGCCGAGGCAGCCGCACGACCGCTTATTCCTACTCGCACCGCGACGTAGGTCTGGTCACTCGCTCGCGTGAGATCCAATTCGCGTCGTGCAAACACCACGCGGCGCTCCAGGAGAACAGACCGTTTATACTTTTTTGCATTCCAGCACGCAAACACACAAACATCGCCGAGTGTAGAAATCCCGAACGTGTAACGAGCCCCGGGACAATAAACCCCTCAATTGAAGGCGACGCGTCTCTCACCTTCATCCGCGACCGGCGTTGCTGCTCCCGCCGCCACCCCGATGTCTGCAGGAGTAGACAAAGACAAAGGTCCCCCTCATAGCCTCTCACAGAGTGCAGGGGCAAGTGCTGTTCGCGAGCAGCGCCTACGAAGGCCGGCACGGCGCACGCCGGGGGTGGGTGGCCAGCACCGCGCCCGGCCGCCTTTGTATCCCCTAGTGGCGATGTTTACTACACACCGCACCTGGTACTCGTTTAACGCCGAGTCGACCTAGGGGAAGCCCGGGACCGGTTCGAATATTCGTCACTGTTATTGGTCGCGAGCAGTAATGTAACTGAGGTCAGCAGGTTCGTAGCGGACTGCAGTGCCACTCCTCCACCACACTCCCGCTCCGCCACTAAGTGGCGTTGACGTCGTCACGGCGCCTGTGCCAGGCTAGGTGCACTTTGAGGCCACGTGAAGCGTCGAAGGCTCTCTGCTGGCAGGAGGTCACGGGACAGACCCAGGTGCCATGGGTTGACTGACTGAGATGACCGGTAGATGCACCGCCTGTGCTCCCCCACTGTGCCAAAAACAAAGACAAAAATTCCCGTATAGCCTGGGAAAACCCGTTGGGGCAAGTGCTGTTAGCAGCACCTACGAAGGCCGGCACAGCGCACGAGGAGGTGGATGGCCAACTCCACGCCCGCCCGCCTTTGTCACCCCAGTGGCAATGTTTACACACCGCACCAGGTACTCATTTGAGGCGGAGTCAACCTAGGGGAAGCCCAGGACCGGTTCAGATAATCGTCACTGGTGACGAACTCGGGTCGCCGGGTTCGTAGCGCAGCACGCCAACCGCTGCACTATCACAGGTGGTGCAGCTGCACCGCCTGCACACTCGAAAGCTAAGAATCCACGTTTATTTTCTCGGTCGTTAGGTGCTTGGCAATTTACCCAGCGGCTCGGGTTCCTCCTTGTTGGGCGCCAACGCTGGCTGTTGATTACAAAGCCTTGCAAAAGCACTCGCCTGCTCCTTCAGACACCGATCCTGCAATAAAGACAAAGATCCACCGTTCAGCCTTGAGAGACTGTTGGGGCAAGTGCTGTTCGCGAGTAGCTGCACCTATGAAGGCCGGCGCGGCACACGAGGAGGTGGGTAGGATGACCAGCACCACGCCCGGCCGCCTTTGTCTCCCCAGTGGCGATGCTTTTCACACACCACGCCAGGTGCTCATTTGAGGCCGAGCTGACCTAGGGCAGGCCCAGGACCGGTTCACATGATCGTCACTGGTGTTGGTGGCAGTGAGCGGGAATCGAACTTGGGTCGCCGGGTTTGTAGCGCAGCGCGCTGACCCCCACACTGATCGCGCAACACACCGACACACTCAACAACAACAACCGCCATTCGCCACTAAGTGGCGGTGACGTCACCACGACGCTTGTGCCAGGCCATGTGCACCTTGAGGCCACGTGAAGTGTCGAACGCCCGCGGGCAGGAGGTCACGGGGCAGACCCAGGTGCCACGGGTCGACTGACTGAGATGACTGGCTGATGCACCACCTGTGCCCCCTACTGTGCCAACCCGCTGTGCTTTAGCCACCCGGCGCTCCGCTCGTTGTTGTGAGCGTCGTTCCTCCGCCCTCCGTTGTTGTTGGAGGGCGACTGTCTCCTACTGCCCAGTAGCGTCCTTCACGAGCCTCCTCCACAGAGGCCGATCTTGACACCGCTGGTACCAGTCATCGGCAAGTCCACTCAGCTCCACGTGCTCCTGTACCACATCACTCCATCTCTTCTCTAGCCGGTGTAGCGCCCGTTGAGCAACCCTCGATCACGGATTGGGCATGCGGGCTACATGACCCAACCAACGCAGCCTTGCCTGCCGGAGGAGCTCACCGATGGGACTTTGTCCAGATCTTTCAATGATTTGTGAGCTCCTCACACAATGCAGTCTGGTTAAACCCAGGATGGATCGTAGGCAGGCCAGCCTAAATGTTTCCAATCGGCGAAGATGCTCCATTAGGGGGGTCCACACACACACACCGACACACACACACCGACACACACAAGTGGCATACAACCCACTATGTAACTAAAAAGGCAGACCATTCGCCGTATTCCCATGTCCATCTCTCATACACGTGCGTGAGTATGTGTGCAACACGTGTGCAGCATGTTTGACTGTGTGTGTGTAACTGTGTGTGTGTAACTGTGCGTGTGACTGTGTGTGTGTAACTGTGTGTGTGTGACTGTGTGTGACTGTGTGTGTGTGACTGTGTATGCTGACTGTATGTGTGTGACTGTGTGGGTGTGTGACTGTGGGGAGCGGTAGTGTAGCGGTTAGCGCTACGCTGCGCTATGAACCTGGTGACCCGGGTTAGATTCCCGCTCACGTCCAACACCAGTGACGATTATCCGAACCGGTCCCGGGCCTCCCCTAGGTCGACTCAGCCTCAAATTTGTACCTGGTACGGTGTGTAAACATCGCCACTAGGGAGACAAAGGCGGTCGGGGTAGCGCTGGCCACCCACCCCTCGTGTACCGTTCTGGCCTTCATAGGTGTTCGCTAACAGCACTTGCCCCTACAGTCTGTTAAGGCTATATGGGGGATCTTTGTCTTTGTGTGTGTGTGACTTGTGTGTGTGACTGTGTGTGTGTGACTGTGTGTGTGTGACTGTGTGTGTTACTGTGTGTGTGTGACTATGTGTGTGTGTGACTGTGTGTGTGACTGTGTGTGTGACTGTGTGTGTGTGACTGTGTGTGTGTGACTGTGTGTGACTGTGTATGTGTGTGTGTGACTTGTGTGTGTGACTGTGTGTGTGACTGTGTGTGTCACTGTGTGTGTGACTGTGTATGTGTGTGTGACTGTGTGTGGTGTCTTATACAAGTACGGGGGGCGGTAGTGCAATGGTTAGCGCGCTGCCCTACGAACCTGCCGACCCAGTGACGATTTTCTTAATCGGACCTGGGCCTCCCCGAGGTCAACTCAACCTGGTGCGGTGTGTGAACGTCGCAACTGGGGAGACAAAGGCGGCCGTGCGTGGCGCTGGCAACCCACCCCCTCGTGTGCCGTGCCGGCCTTCATAGGTGCTCGCTAACAGCACTTGCCCCAACAGCCTGTGTGGGCTACACTGTACAGGGAATCTTCGTTTTTTTGTATACGCTTAGCAAGCAACCCTTAGGGCTGGCACCGTGCACCCATTTACATCTCTTTCCACTGGCACAACCGGGCGGCCGTGGTGCCGGCCGCCCATCCACCTCCTCGTGAGCAGGCCGTGCCGGGCTTCAGAGGGCACCGCTGCTCGCTAACCAGCGCTCCCACCCCCCAGCAGTCCGTGCTGAGCTATACGGGGGGTGGTGGTGGGGGGTGGAATCTGTCTTCGTGGGCCTCCCCTAGGTCGACTCAGCCTCAAATGAGACCTGCTGCACGCACGCACGCACCTGGTGAGCCTGCAGCAGGGACGCCGTCACGGGCTCGTAGCAGTACTGGCACGGCAGCTGCTCGTCAAGAGGCTGCGCTGCTGCTGCTGTTGCTGCTGCTGGCGGCGGCGGCGGAGGAGGTGGAGGACCAGAGGTCGGCACCCCGTTCAAGTATCGAACTCGGCCGTGAGCGACGGTCGGATTGCATCCACTCTGCGACAGGGCGGGTGGGGGAGAGGGGGGAGGGAGGGAGGGAGGGAGGCTCAAGACAACGTGAATGCTCACCGTTCAGGGTGTCGCCTGATGTGTGCATCTGTAGGTCAACTCAAAAAACTATAACAACAACAACAACAAAACTGCGAACTATTAAAAAAAAAACTGTGAACTATTGTTATGTTACCAGGTAAGGCCCCACTGAGCTATGTAGCTCTTTTTTCAGAAGCGGCCTGGCTATCAGCAATGAGAGCTCAACGAAGTGGCTTGTCATCGTGTACGTGTATAGGAGCAGCCAAACACTCTGAACGCGTGGTGATGTTGATTCTGAACGTGGAGGGGAAAAAACCGGAGGATCCGGAGAAAAAGGCACTCGACCACGGGGAGAACATCCAAATATACAGCAGCAGCGGGCGTCAGGGTCGGGATCGAACCCACGACCTCTTGTACACCAGGCGAAGTAGTTAACATCTCCTAGCCACCGTGATGATGATGAGAGAGAGAGAAAGAGAGACGCGCAGACTCCAAATATACAGCAGCAGGCGTCAGGGTCGGGATCGAACCCACGACCTCCTGCACACCAGGCGAGGTAGTCAACATCTCCCCAAAGGCGGCCGGGCGTGGCGTTGGCCACCCACCCCTTCACAGGTGCTCGCTAACAGCCCCAACAGTCTGTGAACGACAACATGAGGGGTGATCTTTGCGTTGGTGCATGCACGTCCTCGCGTTTCATCATGGGTCCCCCATGCATCCAACCCGAGCCTCTCCCCCCCCCCATCTCACCTGGTGCAACACCAGCTCGTGCGCTGGCACGGGCTTAAAGCAGAACTCGCACGGCAGCAGCTCCTGGTCGTCCTCCAGGATCTGCGTGTCCTCCTCCCCCCCCCTCCTCCCCCCCCCTCCTCCCCCCCCTCCTCCCCCTCCTCCTCCTCCTCCTCGGCGCCCCCCCCTCCCTGCATTGAGGATAGCAGCGCCGCCGTGGTCAACTGGGCGGCCGTCTCCCACAGGCTGGAGGCGAACGAGCTGCCGCTCGCCGGGCTCCCCTCCTCTTCGTCTGCGGGTGGCAGCGTCGCGCCGTTAGGGGCGCCGTGGTGGCTCGGAGATGTTGACTACCTCGCCTGGTGTGCAGCAGGTCGTGGGTTCGATCCCGACCCTGACGCCTGCTGCTGCTGTATATTTGGAGTCTGCATCTCTCTCTCTCTCTCATCATCATCACGGTGGCTAGGAGATGTTGACTACCTCGCCTGGTGTGCAGGAGGTCGTGGGTTCGATCCTGACTCTGACGCCTGCTGCTGTATATTTGGAGTTTGCGTGTCTCTCTCTCATCATCATCACGGTAGCTAGGAGATGTTGACTACCTCGCCTGGTGTACAGGAGGTCGTGGGTTCGATCCCGACCCTGACGCCTGCTGCTCTGTATTTGGAGTCTGCGTCTCTCTCTCTCTCTCATCATCATCACGGTGGCTAGGAGATGTTGACTACCTCGCCTGGTGTACAGGAAGTCGTGGGTTTGATCCCGACCTTGACGCCTGCTGCTCTGTATTTGGAGTCTGCGTCTCTCTCTCATCATCATCACGGTGGCTAGGAGATGTAAACTACCTCGCCTGGTGTGCAGGAGGTCGTGGGTTCGATCCTGACCCTGACGCCTGCTGTTCTGTATTTGGAGTTTGCGTCTCTCTCTCCCCGTGGTCGCGTGGATCTTTCTCCGAGTCCTCTGATTTTTTCCTCCCACATTAATAATCAACATCACCACGTGTTTAGAGTGTTTGGCTGCTGTACATTTCCACGTGATGATGATGATGAGCCACTCTGTTGAGCTGTCATTTGTGACCCCAGGTCACCTCTGAAAAAGAGCTACACGGCTCAGCGGGGCCTCATCTGATGAAATAAAAAATGGTTTAGTTATTTTGTATTTTCATGACCGTCACTCACCATCGTCGCTGTCCAGGAGCTCCAGGTACTTCTTATATTCGGCCATCACCTCGGGGTCATCGTGCAGAGCACTCATGGCGGCCGCCAGGGCGGCGTTGGCCGCCTCCGTGACGGTGGCGGTGCCGGCTGGGTCGGGGGCCACCGGGTGCCCGGGGCAGGTGACCCGGTGCACCTCGTCGTCCTGCTTCTGTACGTAGACGAGGCAGGCGTCGCACCGCTCGGTGCGAGCGCCGCAGAAGTCCTCGTGCTCCCGCGTGGTGGCGCGCGGCTGCTCCAGCCCGCAGTAGCGGCACACCGCCGCCTGGCGCGGGCACTCGTGGACCTGGCGGGGCGCGGGGGGAGAGGATTGCCGGGCGGTGGCGCCGGCCGGGGAAAGCGAGGAAGAGGTGGCGGACGGTTCGTCCGTTGACGGTTTCCCAGATTTCGCACGCGGCTTGCGTCGAAGGCATTGCATGGAGCCGCCCCCAAAGTGTTTTGAAACCGAGTCGTTTCGTCTCTTGGCACCTCCATTCTGAATTTCTGTGTGGGTCTCTGTGTGGCTATGTGAGTCTCTATGGGTCTCTGTGCGGCTATGTGAGTCTTGCGTGAGTAGTCCATGTGCCTCTGCGTGAGTACATTCTTTGTTTATTTTCGGTAAATTCACCTAGATAGATGTGATAGTAGAAATCAAGTGAGTAAAAATACCACGACGTTTTGATCGCAACACAAGCGGTCGTCGTCAGGCAAAGAGGGTTGGCCTCTAAAGACAAACTCTTCATCAAGGTTTGGAGATGGTTATAACCCAAGTGTGTCAGCAGCACCAGCAGCATTGGCGGGGCAGCAATGGAACCGCGGGATAACATTGCAAGCCGGATAATCACGCGGTGCTGGATAATCGACGATCAACTGTAGTTTAGTAGAAGAGAAAAAAAAATAGTAGTTTAGTGTTGACACGAGATGGGATTTATCGCGCGTAAAACGACTCCGTGACGCCCGGGCGTAAAGGAGGGTGTCTCTATCGAGACCAAAGATCGAGATTACTATAATACAACTATTATAATAATACAACTATTATAGAATTATTATTGCTACAGCCTTCTCCATGCCGCCCGGCAGACAAATGCCTGGACACAGTGCGCAACTCACCAAGTGGTCTTCCAATTTGCACTTCTCCAGGGCCTTTCCACACTTGCACCTTACCTGTGGCACACACACAAAGACAAAGTTCCCCCGCGTAGCCTTCAAACAGACTTCTGGGGCAAGTGCAGTGAGCGAGCGTGAACCTTTTGAAGGCCGGCACAGCGCACGAGGGGGTGGGTGGACAGCACCCTGCCCGCCCGCCTTTGTATCCCCAGTGTTGATGATTTAAACACACCGTACCAGGCACGCACACACACATTCGCATTCACACACAGAGCATTCAAAATTACGTCATATCGTCTCGTGTAGGTGTACACGCGTCACGGCTCGTGCTGCCTCGTGCTGTCTAATGATGTCTCATTCTGCCTCGTGCTGTCTAATGTTGTCTCATTCTGCCTCGTGCTGTCTAATGATGTCTCATTCTGCCTCGTGCTGTCTAATGATGTCTCATTCTGCCTCGTGCTGTCTAATGATGTCTCATTCTGCCCCGTGCTGTCTAATGATGTCTCATTCTGCCTCGTGCTGTCTAATGCTGCCTCGTGCTGCCTCGTGCTGTCTAATGATGTCTCATTCTGCCTCGTGCTGCCTCGTGCTGTCTAACGTTGCCTCGTGCTGTCTAACGCTGCCTCGTGCTGCCTCGTGCTGCCTCGTACTGCCTCGTGCTGTCTAATGATGTCTCATTCTGCCTCGTGCTGTCTAATGTTGCCTCGTGCTGTCTCGTGCTGTCTAATGTTGTCTCATTCTGCCTCGTGCTGTCTCGTGCTGCCCCGTGCTGTCTAATGATGTCTCATTCTGCCTCGTGCTGTCTAATGATGTCTCATTCTGCCCCGTGCTGTCTAATGATGTCTCATTCTGCCTCGTGCTGTCTAATGCTGCCTCGTGCTGCCTCGTGCTGTCTAATGATGTCTCATTCTGCCTCGTGCTGTCTAATGATGTCTCATTCTGCCTCGTGCTGTCCAATGTTGTCTCATTCTACCTCGTGCTGTCTAATGATGTCTCATTCTGCCTCGTGCTGTCTAATGATGTCTCATTCTGCCTAGTGCTGTCTAATGTTGTCTCATTCTGCCTCGTGCTGTCTAATGCTGCCTCGTGCTGTCTAATGTTGTCTCATTCTGCCTCGTGCTGTCTAATGATGTCTCATTCTGCCTCGTGCTGTCTAATGATGTCTCATTCTGCCTCGTGCTGTCTAATGCTGCCTCGTGCTGTCTAATGATGTCTCATTCTGCCTCGTGCTGTCTAATGTTGTCTCATTCTGCCTCGTGCTGTCTAATGTTGTCTCATTCTGCCTCGTGCTGTCTAATGATGTCTCATTCTGCCTCGTGCTGTCTAATGATGTCTCATTCTGCCTCGTGCTGTCTAATGATGTCTCATTCTGCCTCGTGCTGTCTAATGATGTCTCATGCTGCCTCGTGCTGTCTAATGATGTCTCATTCTGCCTCGTGCTGTCTAATGTTGTCTCATTCTGCCTCGTGCTGTCTAATGATGTCTCATGCTGCCTCGTGCTGTCTAATGCTACCTCACCTCCGTGTGCTCGCTCTGCACGTGCTCCTCCATTTCTGCACGTGGCACGCGCTCATCGCAGCGCTTGCACACCAGCAGGTTCCTGAAGCAGTGCGTCTCGTGCAGGGACAGGTTGCTCACGGCGATCAGATGCCGACTGCGGGGTGACACGGGGACAAACAAAAGACAAAGCTCCCCCCGCGTAGCCTGTAACAGACTGTTGGGGCAAGTGCTGTTAGCGAGTAGTAGCACCTATGAAGGCCGGCACGGCACACGAGGGGGTGGGTGGCCAGCACCACGCCCGAGCCGCCTTTGTCTCCCTCGTGGCGATGTTTACTACGCACCATCAGCAGGTACTCAATGGAGGCTGAGTCGACCTAGGGGAGGCACAGGACCCGATTCAGATCATCGTCACCGGTGTTGGTGGCCGTGGTGGGGGTGCGGGTAAAGGGGAACACGCGCACTCTATATACACCAACCTCTCTACGACTTCTCCATGCGTCTCGACGTATCTCGATGAGCCTCGACGCGACATCGCCGGCTGAACGGGACCGTCCACGTGACCAATCAAAATAAGACCCGAGCGTGGCGCGGGAGCGCAGCCCTCTGGCTAACGCGCGTCACCACCGTCGCCCTATCCAGGGCGACGTCGCCCGCCCCCCCTCCCACCTCCAGACAATCAAAACTAAACTCGTAATAACTGTAGTTACATTGGAGAAACCAAACGACATGTCTCGGACCGCATTCGTAAACACAAAGCAGACCTAAAACACGGTAGGACCAACACCTCGGCCGTGGCAGATCACTGTTATAATTCAGTAGGCTCACATGACATTGACTTCTCCAAGACAGAGGTTCTCTGCAAGCCATCTGACTACCATGAGAGATTCGTTCATGAGGCTATCCACATATACAAACACAGAGACAATTTAAATCGAGAAGATGGATTCTGGCTTAGCAATCATTGGAAGGATTTGATACACCATTTCGGGTCTTAATTGATTGTTCACGCTTATGGTGGCTTTCAGACCGGATCCATTATTTTCGTCTCCCCCTCCTCTTTTCCGAACATAGATGGACTCGTCCATCTGAACAAACTGTCAAATCGCTCTCCGTGGTGCTAACGTTAAAAATAACTGCCACTTTTTTTTATTTCTTGCTGTGGTTTTCACACCTGATGATGGTTGCTTGTGTTGCAGTCGAAACGTCGTGAGAATTGTATTGTTTTATATTTTTATTATTTTATTGTTTCCCTTCTACGTGACTTTTCCGAAAGAACCAAGAATATGAATCCCTGCAGTCACGAAAGCTTTAAATAAAAATTTTAACTATGTTTTATTTTACCAGGTAAGGCCCCACTGAGCTGTGTAGCTCTTTCTCACAAGCGACCTGGCCCATCACAAACGATAGCTCAAACGAAGTGGGCTTATCGGGCGGATATTTATAGTCGCAGCGAAATACTCTGAAACGCGTGGTGACGTTGATTGTAAATGTGGAAGGGAAAACCGGAGGACCCTGGGAAAAATCCACGCGACCACGGAGAGAGAGACACGGGGAGAGACACGGGGGGAGAGACACGGGGAGAGACATGGGGAGAGAGACACGGGGAGAGACACGGGGAGAGAGAGACACGGGGAGAGACACGGGGAGAGAGACGGGGAGAGACACGGGGAGAGAGACACGGGGAGAGAGACACGGCGAGAGAGAAACACACAAACTCCAAATATACAGCAGCAGGCGTCCGGGTCGGAATAGAACCGCTACCGTTCTCCGCGGCGAGCACAACGTCTTTAAAAACAACGGACGCTACGACGCCTCTCTAAATGAAACGAACGGCCGAATCGGCTCACGCGGCCCGAGATTCAGCGGTGAGCGGGACACCACCCACCCTGCGACCCGCAGACCTTCCCGGAACGGGAAAGCCGTTAAAGACGAGTTGACCGTCAAACTCCCAACCACGCGCCGCCTCTCACCAGTTGCCGCACGGCTTGGTCGCGTCGGCGCCACCGGTCCCCGGGGCGGGCGCTGGCGACGGCCCCCCCCGCGGGATCCTTCCCTGCGGAGGCTGCAGCAGCGGCGGCTCCGTTCGCCGCTGCCGGCAACGTTTCCTGATCCCCCCGCGGCGTCGATCTCCGGCCGTCCCGCGGAAACTTTTGCGCCGCTTCTTCCTCCGGAACGCTCTCCGAGGCTTCCCGCCCCTCATCCTCGGGACAAACCTGCGGGATGCGTCTTGGGACCCTCTCGGGAATACCGGCGCGGGTAGGTTCGGGAATGCTTTCCGTGCCGCCCGTACTCCAGCCGTTACGTGCGCTCGTCCCCGCGGAGTCTCCGCGAGTGATCTTCGGTCCCTTCACGTACATCACCCGCCCGGTGCCCTCGTCCGCGAGGTCCACCGAACAGTCCTCCAAAGTTTTTTCCGGGCACACTTGCGGAGTCTCCATCTCAGCTTCCTCCTCAGCGCCCACAGAGAACTCCCCGTTCATATCCATGATTCCCTCCTCTTCCTCCACCTCCTATAATAATAAAAATGTTCAATGTGCATTCCATCCCAGGATCACAATACGCAATACATGAAAAGCAGGAAACAAAAACGGTGCCAGGGGCAACCGACCGAAATAAAGAGGGAAGGCCACTTTAAAGCGATGGGGTTTCAAAGCGGACTTAAATCTATCTACCGACTCTGATTGCCCTGATTTCAAGTGGCGAGGCGTCCCATAGTTTGGTTGCCACGCTAACAAAAGCACCGATCGCCAAAAAGCGCAGCCTAGACCTGGGAGTACTGAGCAGTTGGAGATCACAAGATCTTAAGGACCTTGATGGAACATATACATTTATTAGTTCCTGCAAGTAATGTGCGGTGAGCCCTTTTAAATCCTCATAAGTTCATAGCGGTATCTTAAAATCCACTCGGAATTTGACCGGTAGCCAATGAAGAGATGAGAGGACCTGGTGTAATGTGCTCACGTAACGGTGCACGTGGTGTGAGCACTCGAGTAGCTGCATTCTGAACAAGCTGGAGTCTGCCCAGTACTCTGCTCGGTCTCCCAGCCAGTGAGGCGTTGCAGTGGTCGAGTCGGGAAAACACAAAAGCATGGACCGGTCTCTCCAAGTCAGCAGGTGACAGGACGCGATGCATTCTGGTAATATTTCTTAGGTGGTAAAAGGGCATTTGGAGCACCTTAGATAGATGTGCCTCAAGGGATAATGACCGGTCAAACTGAACCCCGAGGTTACTGAGCTCCCGTGTGGGACTGACACCGTGACCATCCATCAACAAACGAGACGAACCAATTTTAGAAAGATGCAGAGAAGAGCCGATGAATATGGTTTCGGTCTTGTCGGCGTTTAGTTGCAAAACGTTTTGGCGCAACCACGAATTCACTGCAGTTAGTGATGCAGATAGCGCAGAAGATGCTGTTGCAAAATCTGGTCCTAACCGGATATAAAATTGAGTATCATGTGCGTAGCAATGGTGATACTACCTAGTCACGGATCCCTCTTTATCTCCGGGTTGGATCTAAACACAAAAGCACATCCTTCAGCAAGCTTCAAAGGAGGCTGCGGAGACACGTCGTGGGTTTTTGGCTGAGTCAACCTAGGGGAGGATCAGGACCGGTACAAACATACGCCACTGTTTTTGGTTGTGAGCGGGAATCGAACTCGGGTCGCCGGGTTCGTAGCGCAGCGGCTGCAGACATGCACACACACATTCACACGGTATTTCTAGAGTTACCTGAAATGATGATCATTTCATAGATCGTTTTTGTGACAGCAACTCCGCCATTGGATACAGGGCCTCCCAATGGCATTGTGGTCATGGACGTGGTTTGACCACACTTGACGCTTATCAGTGCGGCTTGGTGACGTTGTGGGGAGAGGGGTGGGGGAATGGGTAGTGCCACCCAGGACCGGTTTATGACGACAACTCTGCCGCCACTGCTGTTAGCCGTGGCCGGGAATTGAACTCGGGAAGCCAAGCAGGTGATGAGCTTTTGATAAAACCTTTGATGGAATAAAACCACCACGAGTGCCCCAGGCGCAGCGCCACCACTGTGCCCAGTGAAACGCAACAGTTCCTTCAGCAGAAACGGGAACTTTGGCAATAAAGCGAAACTTGATGTCTTGCCAAAATTGCGACGTAAATATCCTTGTTCGTATCGAAGCAATTATTTATTCGTTTGCGCTGGAGTCTGAGCCGAGACTCGGCGCTACGTTGTGCTCCATTATCGTACTCTACTTCTATGTTCCCATAGAAGGGGCTGTGTATGTACAGCTCCTTTTGGAATGGGGTGGGCAGGAGTGCTGGTGCAGTGGTTAGCACACTGCACTCCCGACCCGTGACCAATATCTCCAACAGAGCTGGTCCTCCCGTAGGTCAACTCAGCCTCAAATGAGTACCTGGTGCGGTGTGTAATAAACATCGCCACTGGGGAGACAAAGGCGGTCGGGCGTTGTGCTGGCCACCCACCCCCACGTGTACCGTTCCGGCCTTCATAGGTGCTACTTGCTAACAGCACTTGCCCCTACAGTCTGTTAAAGGGTATACGGAGGGTCGTTGTCTTTGTTATGTAGGCGACAGTACACGTCTGATGTGATCTCAGCTCGCTCCACCATTCCCCTCCCCCCAGCTATAGAAGTGGAAAAGTGCAGATTGGACCCAATGCGAGTCCACATTCACCAGCCGTTACCGTAGTAACGGTGCCAATCTAATCCATTTGCGCTCCAACACTTTATCAATCCACTGCTGGACGAAGGCATCCCCACACCGTGTCAGTGATTTAACCATACTTCACCACGCTGGTCAGTGCGGGTTGATTAAAGAGCGTGTCCCGGAGTGGGGCGGTTCAGATTCCACTCGCCGCTGATGTTTTGGTGGTGAGATGTTAACTACCTCGCCTGGTACACAGGAGTTGTTGAGTTCGATCCCGACCCCGATGCCTGTATATTTTGAGTGTGCATGTTCGCCCCGTGGTCGCGTGGATTTTTCTCCGGGTCCTCCGGTTTTTCCCTCCACATTTAAAATCAACATCGCCACCACGCGTTTAGAGTCTTGGGCTGCTGTAAATTTCCACGTGACAAGCCACTTCGTCGCGTCTGACAATGAGCGGCATAGCTCAGTGGGCCTTACCTGGTAAAATAAAAAAGCATAGTTTTTAGTTTAGTTTAGTTTATAGCCTGGGCCCGGGAATCGAACTCAGGTGGCTTGCACGGGTTGACGGTGCAGGGCGCTAGCCGCTGCATCACCGCCACTCCACTCCCATGGCGTGTCTCTGGAATGCCTCTCTGACTCAGATACACTGAGCTCGCCTCTACTATTTATAGCGTTCGTTACGTACGGGTAACAAAAACCCATAGGGTCGCATTTAAAACACACTAGGCCAGACAAGACCCACACTTCTTCTTTGGTTCTTTCGGTAAAGTCACGTAGAATGAGAATAAAATAATAAATTGATAAAATAAAATAACACAATAAAATTCTCACGACGTTTCGGCCACAACACAAGCGGCCTTCACTCCAGTGCAGTCTTCGAGACAGGCTGGTCCCTTCACCTGATGAAGGCCGCTTGTGTTGTGGCCGAAACGTCGTGAGAATTTTATTGTTATTTTATTTTATCAATTTATTATTTTATTCTCATTCTACGTGACTTTACCGAAAGAACCAAAGAAGATGAATCCTTGCAGTCACGAAAGCTTTAAATCGAAAAAGACCCACCCTGCCAGCTCTCCTTACACAAAGACAAAGGTTCCCCGTATAGCTCTTGTGTTTTTTTGGGGGTTAAATATAAATGTGTCTTTAAAGCCGCCACCACCCAACACAGCCAATTAATAAGGTTTGTCATGTAAACAGAACGTGGCCAATTCGTTACTACTACAGCACACCGATCGTGTGTTGGAGAGCTAATCCACAACATTTACAATCCGAGCACGACGTTTTGCCAGTAATTACAACCAGCATCATCAGGCAACAGCCAGAAGCCTCTATTATACACAGAGGTGCCACAGAATGACCGGAGATGACTGGCAGGCGGAGGACCTGTGTTCCCCACTCAACACAAATAAATCGTTCACAGTTTACGCACACCCGGGACTAAAGTTCGAGTGTGACCCGGAGGCACGGAGCCCGGCTAGGAGTTCCTCGGACGTCGAAACAGCGGCACCTTTAGGAGTTTACTTCTCCGTGGTGCAAGATGACAGAACCCTGCGTACGTGATGGGGGGGGGGGGATTCCAGGCGACTTGTGTGCCCTAACGCAGACAAAGATCCCCCGTATAGCCTTCAGCAGACTTTTAGGGGCAAGGGCCGCTTGCCAGCAGCCGGCACAGGCGCACGATGGGGTTGGTTGGTGGTGGTGTGGCTGGGGGGGAAAAAAAACAACCCACGCCCCGTCCGCCTTTGTCTCCCCCAGTGCTGACGTTTACACGCTGCACCAGGTACTCTCTCTTGCGGGGGTGATTGTCCTTTTATTGAACAGGTGACAGCCAGCTGAGGTTCATTATCTTTGTAAAATCGCCGCCTGTGATAATATCTTGGGGGGGGGGGGTGTTTGTTACGGTGGGGGGGGGGGGGGGGTTCTGACCATACTTCACCACAACTTGGCCACTGGATTTTAGGCGTGGCCTGGAATCAACCGACGATGGGAGTCGGGAACGTGGAGTGGGAGCGCGGTGCACTGACCACACTCCACTTCTGCTGCCACTGTAATCTCTCAAGACAAACACACACACCATAGCTGTCAACCCCTTATCAGTGCCTTATTACAGACCAACTCACACCGCACTGGTCACCCCGTGCCCCTTATACAGTTCAAAGTTCATCCTACAAAGTCCCGCATGGACGTGAAAACTCAATTCCCCGGCTTCACAGCTGTGCACACACATTTTATAAGACGCACAAAGTATATCTGAAAACTACTGTGTGTGTTTTTAAGGTTCGTCAAGAAACAAAAAAATACATAAAGGATGAAAAAGAGCAAATCGCGTGAAAGTGTTAACGCGAATTAAACCCAGAAAGTATTTCACAGCAGAACACTTTACAGCATTCAAAACGGAATGAAGGCTGAACCATGAAGAACTACCAACAGACACGCACACACACATAGATGATTTGTACATTATTATGATTGCTTTGTTAATGGGATGGTTTATTTCATGTAACGCACTGTGAGGCCTTGCGAGCATGTCGCCGTGGAGAATCAGATTTCAAGTTCTTTATCCTGGTAGGAACTATCCTGGTTACACCAGCCCACAGGGGATTATTGTGTCCGTCCGTCCGTCGTGCATCCAAAAATGGGAGGGGTGGGGCTGGGTGGAGAGGGGAGGGTGGGGAGGGAGAGGCTGGGTGGGGAGGGGAGGGTGGGGCTGGGTAGGGAGGGTGGGGAGGGGCTGGGTGGGGAGGGCTGGGTGGGGTGGGGCTGGTCACCCCGTGGTGCCCTTATAAAACTCAAAGTTTAACCTACTCACGCCGGCTTGTGCCCGCCCTCACAGTCGGGCATATTTGCGGAATACACCACGTGGTGCCGCCGTTGACCCTGGCCATTGACCGAGCAACCCAACGTTCCTACCAGCTCCTTCCGCAGGAATGCATTATCGACACACGTGCCCAAACACTCAAGAAGAAATTGGCCAAAGGGGCCGTCCATAAATGACGTCACGCACCTAGGGGGGGGTCAGACATTTGTTCCGATGTGTGACGAGGGGGGGGGGGGGGGGTTGAGAAATATGACGTCACATAAAAATGCGCAACTTTAAATTAATATAGACAACACATTCTACTTAATTAAATATACTTTATAATAAATGTTTTCTCCTACAACATCAGAGTGCAGCGCCACATTAAATACGCACTAAAATGACAATAGTTTAAAACGATTTGAAGCATGTTTTATTTGGGGGGGGGGGCAGAGCTTTGTGACGTCATATTTGAGGGGGGGGGTCTGACTTTTTGTAACGTCGTGTGACGAAGGGGGGGGGGGGGTCAAAAATCGTCCAAAATCGCGTGACGTCATTTATGGACGGCTCCAAACAACAAGATCAACAACTTACCTTCGTTCGGCACTCATCAATTAACGGGCATCCCACTCATACAGGATGCTCAGGAGCTGTGTGACACAGCCCTTGTGGGTGCACTACTACGTGGAACTTCTTTTGCACCGTACCATGCTCATCGGGGGGCCTGGGAATCGAGGTCACCGTGTACATCGCGCGGCGTGGCGCTGACCACCTGGCCCACCGCTCCAACCACACACAAAGACAAAGATCCCCCCGACAGCCTCGCACACTTCTGGTGGCAAGTGCTGTTTGCGAGCACCTATGAAGGCCGGCACGTACACGCGTGGCCAGCACCACGCCCGGCCGCCTTTGTCTCCCTCGTGGCAATGGTTTTGTTTTTACACATAGCACTAGGGTACGCAATTGAGTCTGAGTCGACCTAGGGGAGGCCCAGGACCGGTTCAGATAATCGTCACCGGTGTTGACCGTGTGAGTGGGAATCATATCGCCCGGACATGCACACCGATATACATATTTCTCCACACATTTATACAGCATTTAAATCTGGACACACATTCGTACGTATACACATCGACATATTGATACGCACACACATGACATAAGTACCGTGCCCTATACACAACGCACATTGATACATACACACGTTGACAAGCTCTGTGTGCATTGCGTACACAGGATTGTCCCAGATGTCTTGTGACCCCAAATTAATTTACCCATTTTCTTTTGTTTATCCCTTTACACGACGTTCATTCCCGTTCTAAATGAACCTTACTTCAAAAAAATCATTACGTTTCATGGAATTAAATGGGGACCACAAGACATGTGGACCCCCCCTCCACAGTACTACTGTATTGTCGACTACAGCTGTAGCACGTTTTACATTTTCCGTACACGTTGTTCTGCGATGTCCTCGCACGTAGATGTTCCCCCTGTTCAACAAACCCGCGCTGACCAGGGCGGTGAAGTATGTCCCCCCGCCCCGATAGACACAATAACCCACAACCACAATTCATGTACCTTGCAGAAGGGTCATTGCCCGAAACGTCTACAAAACACTGCTGCGTAGAGACGCACCCGCGAGCTCTGACGATGATATCGCGACGTGTACGCACGAACTTCCCCGTGAGCCCCCCCCCCCATCACAACGTGGCAATTGCCCTCATCCAGCAGTGGAATTAACAGCAGGGCATTGCGAACAACGCAGGGGACGGGGGGTTGGTTAAACCCACAGTGGCAACGTCGTCCCCGACGTCTGTTCCGACGACAAACGCTGTCGCCCTTCGCAGGGAAACATAAAACAATACGCCGTGGCACACACACGCACACACACTGACGAATGCGCACGGCAGGCACCCATACAGCAGTGGATTTACCAACACGGAGCGGCACACGCGCGTACGTTGAGAACATTTGCGACACCGATTTGATGCAAAAACAAAACGAATTTATTGACGGCGAAAGCTCACTTCTTGCTTTTTTTTCCTGTGTGCAGTTTGGTGTCTCTCTCTTTCCCCCCTCATGAGCAACGGGGTTTGGCTACATGCGGTGCGAAAGAAGTTCAACACACACACACACATCACAAAGACAAAGATCCCATCGCCCTATAGCCTCAACGAGCTGTTGGGGCAAGTAACGTTGAGCGACGCACGGCACATCGCGAGGCGCTGCTGATGTTATCACACCAAGACCGCACCACCAAATAATCCCATCACTCGTTTAACGCCGAATCACCCTAGGGGAGGCCCAATAATTAAAAGGTTTCAGATATCAATCTGCGCCCATGGTTAGTCGAGGCCACGGTGTCAGAAAGAGTGGCATCACCGCAACGCGCTAAGCACTGCGCCACCGCTCTCACCAAAAACAGATAAAGATCCCCCGTGTAGCCTGTAACAAACTATTGAGGCAAGTGCTGTTAGCGAGCGCCTATAAAGACCGGAACGGCAGAGGAGGGGGTGGGTGGTCAGCACCACGCCCGGCCGCCTTTGTCTCCCCATTGGCGATGTTTACACACCGCACCAGGTACTTATTTGAGGCTGAGTCGACCTAGGGGAGGAGACCTAAAACAGGTTCAGAATAATCGTCACCGGTGTTGGCCGTGAGCGGGAATCAAACACACAACAACCACACACAACAACACACACAACAACACACACGTACACACACAACTACACACACACAACTACACACACAACAACTACACACAACAACCACACACAACCACACACACAACTACACACAACAACAACACACACACACACACGTACACACACAACTACACACACACAACAGCCACACACAACTACACACACGTACACACACAACTACACACACAACAACCACACACAACTACACACACAACAACCACACACAACAACCACACACAACCACACACACAACTACACACAACAACAACACACACACACACGTACACACACAACTACACACACACACAACAGCCACACACAACTACAAAGACAAAGATCCCCCGTATAGCCTTAACAGACTGTAGGGGCAAGTGCTGTTAGCGAGCACCTCGCACACAACTACACACACAACCACACACACAACTACACACACAACTACACACAACAACCACACACAACAACACACACACAACAACACACACAACAACCACACACAACAACCACACACAACAACAACAACACACACAAACACAACCACACACCACATTGGGCAGCCTTACCTGCGCACAGGAATTCCCCCAGTGGAAGTTCCCCTTCTCCCAGATGCTTTAGTCCCCGAATCTCTTGAAGTCAACCCCAGGTATCACTCGTCGGGGTCCGGTCCCCGTTGTTTTTTGCTGCTCGAGCCGAGATGGCAGCCAATTGGTTTCAGTTCCGCAGTGGAAATTAACAAAAATATAATCAATTTAATCAATTAACAAAAATATAATCAAATAAGCACTCACAAGCACTCACAACCAGGAACCTTTGCTCGCTTATATATATATCTCGGCGGGGTCTAGGAAAGTACCGAAAATTCACACTGCACATACACACACCCCACACGTGTCACTGTGTGTGCGTGTGGTGGGTGGTACAGGCTGTATATGCCGAGAGCGGTGGCGCTGTGGTTAGCGCGCTGCACAACGAACCCGGTAACCCGAGTTCAATTCGTGCTCACCGATCAATGAACTGGGCGGATATTTTAAACCGGTACTGGGCTTATCCCCAAGGTCAACTGGGGAGACAAAGGTGGTCGGACGTGGTGGCTGGGTCGCACCGTACAATCCATTTGTGAATCGACTCGCTAACATCAGGGGCAACTCAGCCTTAAATGAGTACTGTACCCTGTGAAGGCGTGTAAACATCAGCCCTGGTGAGATAAATGCGGTTCTGGCCACACAACTCCCACACCGCTAACAGGGGTTGTTTGACTATACATCACCACGTTGGTCAGTGCGGATTGACGAAGTCAGGGGCCCAAGACCGATTTAGATATCATCGCCACTGATGTAAATCAGCTGGAGCCGGGAATTCATCTCGGAAGCTAAGCAGCGACGAGCCTGGATCGTGCTTGTACGGGCCGCAAGCCCACAATCGTGCATAAACAGATGTTATAGGCTGCGGGGTTATGTGTGGAGAGCAGCAGAAGTCCGTCCAAAAAAATAAACAGTTGTACTGTACTTCAATGTTCCCTCCTTCATAAATCCACACTGCCTTTAGAGGCTGACTCCTTTGCCTGATGACGACCGCTTGTGTTGCGATCGAAACGTCGTGATTTGTTTTATTTTATTTCTAACTACGTGACTTAACCGAAAAAACCAAAGAGTATGGATTCCTGCAGTCACGAAAGCTTCAAATAAAGATTACTCTAATGAAGTTCAACATCAGATGATGATCCAAATTAAATTTCTGTCACTCGAACACAGATACTAATTCCCAGAGCAAGTTGCAATTTAATGTGTTTGTGAGCTGACGACGAACACGGACAGCTAACGCCAGTGATAATTAAGTGGCATTTCGCCCTCTTCTGGAAATTAAGTGGCATCTTACCCTGTTCTGGGAATTAAGTGACATCTGAACCTGCCCTGAGAATTTTGTGACATCTGACCCTGTCCCGGGAATTAAGTGACATCTGACCCTGCCCTGGGAATTGAGTGACATCTGACCCTGCCCTGGGAATTGAGTGACAATCGACCCTGCCCTGGGAATTAAGTGACATCTGACCCTGCCCTGGGAATTGAGTGACAATCGACCCTGCCCTGGGAATTGAGTGACATCTGACCCTGGCCTGGGAATTGAGTGACATCTGACCCTGCCCTGGGAATTGAGTGACATCTGAACATGCCCTGGGATTAAGTGACATCTGACCCTGGCCTGGGAATGAAGTGACATCTGACCCTGCCCTGGGAATTAAGTGACATCTGATCCTGTCCTGGGAATTAAATGACATCTGACCCTGCCCTGGGAATTAAGTGAGATCTGACCCTGCCCTAGGAATTAAGTGACATCTGACCCTGTCCTGGGAATTAAGTTTACATCTGACCCTGCCCTGGGAATTAAGTGACATCTGACCCTGCCCTAGGAATTAAGTGACATCTGACCCTGTCCTGGGAATTAAGTGACATCTGATCCTGTCCTGGGAATTAAGTGACATCTGACCCTGCCCTGGGAATTGAGTGACATCTGACCCTGCCCTGGGAATTGAGTGACATCTGACCCTGGCCTAGGAATTAAGTGACATCTGACCCTGGCCTGGGAATTAAGTGACATCTAACCCTGCGTTGGGAATTAAGTGACATCTAACCCTGCGTTGGGAATTAAGTGACATCTGATCCTGTCCTGGGAATTAAGTGGCATCTGACCCTACCCTGGGAATTAAGTGGCATCTGACCCTGTCCTGGGAATTGAGTGACATCTGACCCTGCCCTGGAAATTAAGTGGCATCTGACCCTGCCCTGGGAACTAAGTGGCATCTGACCCTGCCCTGGGAATTGAGTGACATCTGATCCTGCCCTGGGAATTAAGTGACATCTGACCCTGCCCTGGGAATTAAGTGGCATCTGACCCTGTCCTGGGAATTAAGTGACATCTGACCCTGTCCTGGGAATTGAGTGACATCTAACCCTGCGCTGGGAATTAAGTGACATCTGATCCTGTCCTGGGAATTAAGTGACATCTGACCCTGTCCTGGGAATTGAGTGACATCTGACCCTGCCCTGGAAATGAAGTGGCATCTGACCCTGCCCTGGGAATTGAGTGACATCTGACCCTGTCCTGGGAATTAAGTGGCATCTGACCCTGCCCTGGGAACTAAGTGGCATCTGACCCTGTCCTGGAAATTTTGTGACATCTGACCCTGCCCTGGGAATTGAGTGACATCTGACCCTGTCCTGGGAATTGAGTGACAATCGACCCTGCCCTGGGAATTGAGTGACATCTGACCCTGCCCTGGGTATTAAGTGACATCTGACGTTGTCCTGGGAAACCCCTTCTGTCGAATTAGCTTTGATGAGTATCTCAATGCAATGTGGAAATACCAGCTTATGGGGAAGGACAAAGGTGGCTGGGCGTCGAGAGGGCCACACACACCCCCTCATAGGTGCCATTTGCTCCCATAATAAAGTATTCTTAATTTTTACGTGCTTTAAAAAATGGCCATTTCCCGAAACTCTCCTGTAATTTTTTTTTACATTGAAGAATGTGTTCGAGTGTTTTTGTTAATTGTCCTGTCGCAACACTGCCAACGCAGCAGCAGCATCACCGAATCATCATGCGCAAAAGACGGGTAGTAAACTGGATGTCATGGGCAGGAGGAGGCACAGGGCAGCGATATGGAATTGCACATCAATCGTCACTCACCCATACAATATGGGGTGAGAAAGCCCTCATCTAGCAGTGGATTGGCAAAAGGGTGCACACATTTTTTATTTGGTCACGTAAGTCGAGAGTAGGCCTCCTTCACGTATTCGTCCATCCGCGTAAAAGTATTTTTCCACAGCAACACGGCCTGTTTTTTTGTAGGAGTGTACACAATCTCAGCTGCATTGGCTCAACTCAAGCACAACGCTGATCCCGGGTTTCGATTTTGAGTTTCACATCAGCGGTGCTCAGCGCGCGCAGTCGCCCCCCCCCCATCCCTCTAGCCCCTCCCCTCTTACACCCCCACCCCGCCCCTCCCCCCCTTAAACCCAGGCCCCTCCCCTCAGAACTTGGTCTTCACGAGCGGGCGTGAGACGGCGGCGCGGTGGGGGGAGGGGCTTCTCCTGCCAATGACGCGCACGCTAAGCCCCTCCCCTCACCGCCCCTCCCCTCACCGCCCTCGTGACGTTCCCTGGTGCAGTGGCAACAGCGGGCGCGAGGCGGCGCTCTCCCGCCAAGCGGCGCGCGCTCACGACCTCCCACCCCCCCCTCCCCTCACCCCATAACCCCCTCCCCTCACAACACCCCCCCCCCGGCCCCGCCCCCTCGCCTCGCCCTTGCCGCCATGGCGGATAGCAGTCGGACTCACGGACCAGGCCTCAAGTTTTGCGTGGCGCAGCTCCAGAGCGGCTGCGCGACCGCCGTGGTCAATGCCCTCGTCACGATCCGAACCAAATTCATCAAAGAGAGGGGCGGCATCGAGAAGTTCCGCCTGCACGGCGGCCTCAGGCCGCTCGTGGCTCTGATACAGAAGCCCAATGTGAAGATAGTTGACATTTCGCTGAGCATTATCGCCAATTGCTGCACAGAGAGCGAAGCGAGAAAGGAGGTACAGCGATCGAAAGGGGGGGGGGGGGGCATCATTTGCGAGAGTTTGTGGTGTTTTTATTTCGTGTTCAGTTGGTGGGGGGTGGGGGTGGTGGTGATGGTGGTGGGGGTTTACCCCCTCAGGCATGCTGTGTGTGTGTGTAAACCGCGCGTGTGTGTGTTGTGTTGTGTGTCGTGTGGGTGCGCAGGTCCGCAGGCTGGGCGGGCTGCCCCCCATCGGTGAGTGGCACGAACCCGCACGTCGCGCGCGCCCATTGGTGGCTCGACTTGCCTCACCGAACACGTGACGCGGCTGGGGTAAACACCGCGTCACGTGGGTGGGCGTGCAGGAGGGGTGGGTGGGGGGGATGGCAGAGCGCGCGCGCGGTGGAAGGGGGAGGGGGGAGCTATGGGCCCGCATTGTCACGTGTGCCAGGGTCAGGGGTTAGAATCTTAGGAGTTATAATCTTAAGAGTTATAATGTAAGAGTTATGACGTAAGAGTTATGATGATTACACTGTAACAAAAAAAAATTCCTGGGTAGTGTAATTTCCTAATTGTACAGAAAAAGGCTATTATTACTCTTTGTTTTTTTTCGGTAAAGTCACGTAGGTAAAATAAAATAAATGAAAACAACTAAATTAAATGACGACGTTTCGGAGGCAACTCAAGCTTCCGTCTTCAGGTGGAACAGACAGCAAAATTAACTGTTAACAGTTAATTAACCTGAAGACGGAAGCTTGTGTTGCCTCCGAAACGTCGTGATTTAATTTAGTTTTCATTTATTTTATTTTACCTACGTGACTTTACCGAAAAAACCAAAGAGTATGAATCCTTGCAGTCACGAAAGCTTCAAATCTAGAATTAGGGCTATTATTCCCCACAAACTTTGCTTTTGACCAGGACAGTGCTATTTTGAAATGTACCTATTTTCAATGATAAAATGTGGTGTGCATTTGTGTCTTTCCTTCACGTATAGTCCTGGTTACAAAAGCAAGTTTTTGGGGAATAATAGCCATTTTATATATATATATATTTTTAGGCATAAACAATTAAAACATAACACTTACTACCCAGGGACAAAATCGTGTTACATAGTGTTATTGGTGTGATGGTGATTGATGTGATGGGGCTGGAGTGAGTGTGATGGTGTTGGAGTGAGTGTGATGGGGCTGGAATGAGTGTGATGGGGCTGGAGTGTGATGGGGCTGGAGTGTGTGTGATGGGGCTGGAATGAGTGTGATGGGGCTGGAGTGTGTGTGATGGGGCTGGAGTGTGATGGTGAAGTGAGTGTGATGGGGCTAGAGTGAGTATGATGGGGCTGGAGTGTGTGTGATGGAGCTGGAATGAGTGTGATGGGGCTGGAGTGTGTGTGATGGGGCTGGAGTGTGATGGTGAAGTGAGTGTGATGGGGCTGGAGTGAGTTTTATGGGGCTGGAGTGTGATGGTGTTGGATTGAGTGTGATGAGGCTGGAGTGAGTGTGATGATATATTCAGTGATGGCGGATGAAGTTGAATTGAGTATGATAGGGGTGATGGTGGTGATAGTCTCTGGCCGAGTGATGCTATCATCAGATGGTGATGGGGCTGGCTTGAGTAATGGTGTTGTTCAAGCCTAAGTATGATGGTGTGATGGTGGTTGATTCAGTGATGATGAGACTGGATTGGGGATGGGACTTGATTAAGAAGTATGATGATGGTACTTAAGTGTAATGGTGATGATGGTGCTGTTTATTGGAACTTGATAGGCTGTTGTTTAGGCTTATTCGCTTTGGCTTAAGTATGATAACGATGATGCGGCTTGACTGAATTCCCCTAGAAAACTACATCATCTTACAAATGGAATGGTTGAAATTAACTTTGAACCAGTGGTGGAAATTCCACTTTCCTTTGTCTGGCACAAGGCACATTGCACATTTTAACCTTATGGCGGGACCCCGGGGTCCCGAAAAAACGGAAGTCAAAATCGTAATTAATGAAAAAAATTTTGGCGACTCTGTCCCACCGCGCACACAAACGCCGCGACCCACCTGGCGCGGATCATTCTGTGGTCCTGTCATCCAAGCGCAGCGAGGACGAATGCGCAGAAGAAACAAAACTTTTAAACTGTGATGAGTGCATCGTGTAAAGCTCGTCGAGAGGAACAGATTGCCGTGTCGTTCGCCTTCAACAGACATAAAATGACGTCGCAACGCAGTTTATGCGCGAGCCGGGGGTTTATGGGACCCCGGGGTACAGCCATAAGGTTCATTTGTATACTTGTACATTCCTCTTTTCGATCCATTGCCATATGCGACGGCCTCTCCACACCCTTCGTGAGGGTTACTTGATGATACATTACGCTAGTCGGTGCAGGTTAGCGAAGGCTGTGGTGGTGGGCATAAATATGGAAGCATAGATGTACAGTACAAAAATGTTGTATCTGCACCACCCACATCATAGCTCTGCAGCAGCCTTCAACACCTCTTTAATTCGCAGTGTTCATCCATTTAAACCTCCGATTATCACGGTTGGCTACGTATGGTGCAAAAGAAGTTGAACATACATACATAAACACCGCCCTAGGCTCAACCCTGCTTGGTTACTGAGATCTGATGAGATTTGGTGCATTCTGGCTGATTTGGTAATGGGCTAGTCATTAAAAACTCATCACATGAAGCATAGATCCCATACGTGTGTGTGTGTGCGCACAGTTTAACACAATTTTATGTTTGTCATAACCGCCTGTGTCTCACCGAGCAGTGTTGGTCCTGAAGTCGGTGACGGTGGAGAGCATTCAGAACCGGGCAGCGCGTGCGCTGGCCAACCTTGCTCAGGACAAGCAGAACAGCGAGATTCTGCACAAGGCTGGTAAGCGCTGCAGAGAGGCTCTCGGAGTTTGCCAGCCGGGTCGGACCCCAGGGCGCCTGAGCGGGCACTGCTATGACCTATCTGAATTGGAATCCAAACAGCCGCCTGTGATAAGAATTCGACGTAAAAGCAGGTGGATTGATTGTCCAGCACTCGCCCATTCAAGTCACTCTCTCGCCTTATCTGTTCTCTGTTACTACCACGGTCGCTGGTCCCGTAAACTTGGCTCATTGATTCCTCCAGTGATGTTTGGGGAGCAAGTCATATTGGGCACAGCCGATAATAATGATGTCTACTGCTAGTTAGGAGTGCTGGCACATGCTTGCAATTCAGCACTGCGAAGACGGGTGGACTAATAGGTTCGTGAAATTCCTGAATCTAGTGAGATGCAAGATGGTCATGGCATGGCAGAACAATAAGTTGGTTAGAAAACCTGTCTGTGTGGCACTAACCAGTGTTACCTGCTCATAAGTAGATATGTGGTCGTTTCAGTTTCTTTCATATGCAGAAGATTTGTATTTCTGTTTCATATTTCTTCATCCTGAGCACGTAACTGTGTACAGTACAACGGTGCAAATCCGATCGACTGGAGGCATGGGCAGATATGTGAAAAGGTCAGATTATGTGAACAAATGTAAAACGACGGCTAACACCGTGCACAAAAGAGTTACCGAACAAAGTAAGTCGGTTATTAAAGAATACAAATATAATACTTCCAGTTGTATTGTACCCATAAAGTAACAAAAAGTCTCGGAGGCAGCTGTATTCGCCGAGGGGACTCCGAATGGCAGCTTGTCCATTGTACTAGACATTAATATGCAGTTTATAATTTAAGACAAGATGTCGTTTCCTACCAAGAAGTTTAAAAGTTATAAACGGACAGCAACTTTCATTGAATGGCTTCTTGTTAACTTTTAAAATCTTAAAAAGTTCTTCGTGTTTTTTCTCTGCAAAGGATTTCTGTTGTGAAGCCATGTTAACCACTGATCGGGCCGAGTGTTCATTGCTCCGGTGTTGCCTCGGGCCGTCTCGGGCTGTCGTTTTACTCTTTGTAGCCACTGCGGATGCTGCGAACGTCGCGGACTCATTTTTCCCTGAACTGTGTGGGGGTGGGGGGTGAGATAATCGATGAGGGCCGACACGCGACACTATAGTCTTACGATTTTGGTAATGCGCGCAGGCACGGTGTCGCATCTCAAAGCGCTGCTCGAGTCCGGCCGCGACGACGAGTGCCTGCAGAGCGCCGTCCGTGCCGTGAGGAACCTGGCCGACTCCCCGTCTCACCGCGCCGCCATGGTGAGCCAGGGCGTGGTGGAGCCGCTGGCGCAGCTGCTGAAGAGAGGCGACCGCTCGGGCGTGGTGGGGGCCAGCGCCCGGGCGCTGGCCGAGCTCAGCCGCCAGTGCTCGACGGAGTGCGCCGAGGTGCTGTCGCGTGTCGATGCGCCGTCCACGCTCGTCGCGCTGGTCTGTGGCGGCGACGCGGCGGTGCGCGCCGATGCCATGCAGACGCTGAGCAGCCTGTGCTCCCAGGCTATCGTGCGGCCCACCCTGGGCAGCGCCGGCGCGATACGCTGCTTCGTCGACGAAATCAGAAGCGCGCGCAACAGCGGCGGCGGTGGTAACAGCGGCGGCGTTAACAGCGGCGGCACCAGCAGCGGCGGCACCAGCAGCAGCACCACAGACAGCACCACAAACAGCAGCACCACCAGCAACAGCAGCACCACCACCAGCAGCACCACCACCAGCCATACCACCACCACCAACAGCAGCACCACCACCAACAGCACCACCACTAACAGCACCACTAACTGCACCACCAACAGCACCACCAACAGCAGCAGCAACATCAGCAACAGCAGCAGCTGCACCAGCAGCAGCACCAACAGTAATACCTGCACCACCAGCAGCAGCACGTGCACCAGTAGCACCACAAGCAGCAGCAACAGTAAGAGCTCTTCCAGCAGCAGCAACAGCTGCACCAGCACCAACAGCTCCAAGAGCAGAAGCATCAACAGCTGCAACACCATCAGCAACAGTGGCAACAGTACTCCAGCTGGCAGTGCAGTGCTGAACGTTGTCCGAGCTCTGTGCCTCTGCTGTCGTGAGGCTGTGAACCGGGCGAAGGTTGTGGAGAGCGGTGGCATCGAGCTGCTCTTCTCGCTGCTCAAGGACTCCCACTTCAAGGCGTCCCACGACCGAATCATCTTGGCCTTCCTCAGTTTTTTCTATGAGGAGTCCGCGCTGGACGTGCTGCTCGGGTACGGGTTGGTGCCCATCCTGGTGAGGCGGCTGGAGGAGTGGACCCTCGTGTCCGATAAGTTCCAAGCGACCGCTGTCGTTGCCGACATTGAGGACGAGAGGTATGCCGCCTCGTACGACTTCCCGACAGAGTTCAACCGCAAGCCGGACATGGAACCAAATGCGGAGTCCTCGAGCTTTCTTAGCATGAGGTGGGGGTACTGCTGATTATTTTTGTTTCTTCGCATGCACTGCTCACCTTAAACACAGGTGGCGGAGCTCTTCCTTGCCGAGGAGTCATTAGGATTTTCAGATACAGTCTGTTCTCCTGTAACGCCGCATGTTTTCTTAATGCGAACTGGATATAACGCGATTGAGTGATCAGAACTACGCTGTAGCGCGAGTAGGAACAAGCGATTGTACGAGTGCCTCGGTGTAGCATCGCACAAGGCGGGATGCTGCTGGATGCTTCTAGATGCTACCCATGCACCTCCGTCTTTGTTCAGCCCGCGTACGCATCTCACGTGTTATTACAGACTGCGATTTGCCCTGCATTATATATTATTTATTATAACGCGGTGTTCTTCAGGAACGTGGCTACCGCATCATAGTAGAACAGACTGTACCTTTGGCAAACAACCACACATGAACACACACATCAGTTTATTCTGTCACTGCAAGAGGCCCCCTCGGTGATGGCAGTGATTGAACGGACTAAAATTAGGAATGCGGTGTTGCCAGGTCAAATACATTCCCGTCTGGTACCTGATTAGTGCATCTAAGATGCTTTGAACGACAAATAAATATATTTTTTGAAGGCTGTTTCGAAGTCATTAGCTCTTCGTGTGGCCACGGGGCTGTATAGAATTAAGGTGTGGGCCGTATGTTCCCCCGCCCTGCCTTAAAAGCTGATCAGGTGGCACTGTGGGTAGAGCACTTGACACAATCGGAAGGCTGAAAGTTCAAATCCCTGTTGGTTATAACTCAGCCAATCAGCTGTTTGACATCCATAACACGAGTCATACTGTGGGAAGTCTGCATCACGGGCTCTGGACCACTGGCAGGGATGAGCGCCACTCGTGGGAAGTTATTGATTTGACATTGTGAAAAGTAAAACCGTTATATAATTCATGGCTCTTGCTGCCGCGCCAGTGTGAACACAAATTATTACCATTTGGTTACTGCAACTTTTATTAGCCTCATGGCTCCGCTATGCTCTTTGCGTGTAACTGTCCATTAATGGCAGTGTGTAGCGAGGCGTGGCTCACCGATGTGCCCTAATTAGAGGAAAACGTGTCCACGTCTCCTATGCTGTGGACTGCCCTAATGACTTGAAGCCCGATGAGCAATTGAGATATATTGAGTGAAACCCACTTTGTGCTACAGTGCTTTTGTACTCATTGCTTTACTTAATTGCTGTTCTCTGCTTTGCTGTTGTCATTTTGGTGACCCAAGACACAAATGAGACTCATACTGGTCTCTTTTAAGTTCTCACCTGATTAATGAATTGAACTTGTACTGTTTGCCAAAGCAGCATCATTAACCAGTGGGTCCCGTTGACCGCTGATTCTCGGAACGCGCGAGCGGTTCAGCCTTAATTTTATTTCGAGAGGCGTAGCGCCGCTGTTTTTAAAGATATTCACGGCGGAGAACTGTAGCGACACGACCGCCGCACTCTATGATAGCTGACGCCAAACTGCGCCACACGCCCTCCTCCCGCATTGGCCTTCTTCTTCCGATCCTGTTTGTAATCGATTCGACGTCATTCGGAGTCGATTCCGTAACACAGTCTGCTTTTCCGTAATGTTTTCTCACTCGTGCTTTTGTGACGACAGGTCATGGCTTCTCACGCAGGGCTACATCGTGAGCCCGGGCGACATCTCCCCGCGTTGGTGTCCAGACGGCAGCACGGGAGACACGGAGCTGGAGGACCTTGAGGCGGTGCCGCGGTGCAGCAGCCTCGTCACGCTCCACTCCTCCGTGACCGACGCCGAGGCCGTGGAGGAGCCCGGCAGCCCCCGGGTGGCTCGCCGTTCCGGCGGCGACGTCGACAGGGCGTGCGCCGATGCCAAACGGGCGAAACTTGACGACGACGATGAAGACGATGGGCGGACGGCGACGGGTGCTCACGCGGGTCGTAGCTCGGAGGTCGAGAACTCGGGAGGAGCTCGGCAGCAAACTCTGCCGGCGCGCCGACGGAAACGACTGCTCACCCACCCTCAAGACCAGCGGCGATCCCCGCAGGCCTCCTCCACCCGTCTCCACTTCAGGCTCCTCAAGTTCTGCCAGAACGCCCGATCGGAAGCCACGTCCGTCAAACTCAAGAAGGAAGCTTGTTTGTCGTCGTCGTCGTCGTCGTCCTCACCGGCTCTGCGTGCTTCCGACCTCGCGAGCGGCGAGGCGAACCGAAGCGCCGCCACGAAACGCAAAGAGAACGACGCTCGACGACACGACCTCCCCACGCCTCGTAAAGCCCCCGCCCAGGGAGCGGCGACGACAACAACAACAGCCGTTGCCGCCGCCGCCGCCGCCGCCACCGCCGCCACCGACAAAAACTCCATCGCCGACGGCAAAGCAACGGCGAGCGGCGCGGCGGGCCCCAGCGGCGCCGCGTCCCAACCGGAGCAGGGGCACGGGTCGGAAACGGAGCGGGCGGTGGGGCCCGACTTCGCCATCCTCTGGCTGCTGTCGCGCTTCTCCATGTACGTGGACCCGAGCTTCCTGGTGACGACGGCCGTCCTCCGCGGTCTGCTCAACTACGTGCTGGGCGCGGCGCGGCCGAGCCCCCGGGCCGCGCGCATCCTCCTGCGCCTCGCCGCCAATCCCAACTGCCTGGAGGCGTTCGTGCGCACGCACGGCATCTCCACGCTGCACCTGCGCCTCTGCCACGGCCTGTGCCCCGACGGGGAGGTGGAATGGGCGCGGGGCGACCTTTCCGCGGGTGAAGGGAGCGCCGGAGGAGGCGTCGAGTCTCTCGTGCAGAGGACTGCGAACTTGAAGCTGACCACAGCGAGTAACCGCGAATTGGGTAAGGGCGGTGTGATATTTCCGGTTGGGAGGAAATGCCGATAAACAACTCGTAGAGGGCAGCCGGCTTTGTTAACCACATGAGGGCGTTTAACATCGGCACTATACGTGGGGGACACCGCTTTGGAAACTGTCGCCCGTGTTATGGCCATGCCCAGGCGGTCACACGTCACCATTACTTCGTTGCCCTGTTGACTTGGACTCAAGCACTCTGTAGCGGTAGTGTAATGGTTAGCGTGCTGCCCTGTGAACCCGGCCACCAGAGTTCGATTCCCGCTCATGGCCAACACCAGTGACGATTATTTGAACCGGTACTGAGCCTCCCCTAGGGTCGACTTAGCCTCAAATGAGTACCTGGTTCGGTGTGTAAACATCGCCACTGGGGATACAAAGGCAGTCGGGCGTGGTGCTGGCCACCCACTCCCTCGTGTGCCGTTCCGGCCTTCATAGGTGCTCGCGAACAGCACTTGCCCTTACAGTCTGTTAAGGCTATACAAGGGATATTTATCTTTGTATCCTGGTAGTGGTTGGCACACTGTGCCACGATTCCGGCGACCTTTAGATTTTACACCCGCTCACCGCCAACATCAGCTACAAATATCTAAACCTGTCCTGGGCCTACCCCCTAGGTCGACTTGAGTACCTAGTGCAGTGTCTAAACATCAGCATTGGGGAGATAAAGGTGGCCCAGGCATAATGCAAGCCGCACCAGCCATGTATGCGCCATACTCGCCTTCATCGGAACGAACAACACTTTTCACAACAGCCTGTTCAGGCAACCACGGGGATCTTTGTTCCCAGCCAAGGGTCGACTTGGCTGATCATTGTAATAATTTCTTCAGGGTCGACAAAACAAGTACCGCTTTGTGGAAAGCCGGGCGGCTGCACGTACATTTCAATATGTGGGTAGAGGCCTGCGTATAATTACCTGATGGGATTTTGAAATTACAACTACGAGGTTGCCTGAAATGTCCGGAACGGCTCATCACGGCTCCCATTTCCGACGTAGGATGTGGAATTTCCACCACTGGCTCGGGGCCGCCGGTGCATTTGCTGTCATGCCACGCATGCACTCTTTTACATTTCAGCATTTTTTGGGGGGCTTTTTAATTTAAACATATATTGAGTTCAACTTTCAACATTGCACCAGTCTGAAGCAGACGACTACAGCCGACGGCAGGATATTTTCAGCCGCGGCAAAAAGAAGTTATATTTAGTGCTGCCATGTGTTCTGCCCATGCCAATGATGACCACCTATCTTTGGCCACACCCTGCTGCAGCAGTTATTGCTGCAATGCACTTGAAACAGTTATTGCAGACTTAAGTTAAACCTGCTAGTGGGGTAGCTGTATTAGAATGGAGCGGCCAAACGTCGCTCTTTTAAACACTGCCCTGTGTGTATGTGTAAGCCTCTGCTTGTACGGGCATGTGTGCTTGAGTCTCTGCAAATGTGTTTGCGTCTGTGTGTGTGCTTGTATGTGCGGGGTGAGTGGTAGTGTAGCGGTTAGCGCGCTGCGCTATGAACCCGGCGACCCGAGTTCGATTCCCGCTTACGGTGAACACCAGTGACGATTATCTGAACCGGTCCTGGGCCTCCCCGAGGTCGACTTAGCCTCAAATGAGTACCTGGTGCGGTGCGTAAACATCGCCACTGCGGAGATAAAGGCGACCGGGTGTGGTGTTCGCCACCCACCCTCTCGGGTACCGTTTCGGCCTTCATAGGTGCTGCTCTCTAACAGCACTTGCCCCAACATCTGTTAAAGGCTATACGGGAGATCTTTGTCTTTGTGCGTCGATGTGCTAGTTGCACGTATGCATATATTTGTATCCGTGTTAGCCCATGTGTGTGTGTGCATTGTGTATGTGCTCGCACGTGCATGCCTGCATGCACACGTGCCTGCATGCCTTTGCGCGTGCATACCTATACGTGCATTCGCGTGTGCGCACGTGTGCGCGTATATTGCCGTGTTTGTGTGTACGTTTGCTTGCGTACGTGTATGTTTACATACTTTCCCGCACGTGTTTTTGCACGTGTGTCTGTGTGTGTATCGGCAGCGTGGGGAATGTTGCGGAGTCTGCGTATTCAAGCCGAGTCGGGGTTTGGAACCGGAACCCTGAACCACCTCCTGCTGTCGACCCGACAGGGAGACAAGGCTGCCTGCGCCCTCGCATTGCTCTACCTGTGTCGGTAAACGATGAACACTTACAGCCATCACTACCCCCTGGTGCTGTCCCTGTGTCGGTAAACGATGAACACTTACAGCCATCACTACCCCCTGGTGCTCTTCCTGTGTCGGTAAACGATGAACACTTACAGCCATCACTACCCCCTGGTGCTGTCCCTGTGTCGGTAAACGATGAACACTTACAGCCATCACTACCCCCTGGTGCTGTCCCAGTGTCGGTAAACGATGAACGCTTACAGCCATCACTACCCCCTGGTGCTGTCCCTGTGTCGGTAAACGATGAACGCTTACAGCCATCACTACCCCCTGGTGCTGTCCCTGTGTCGGTAAACGATGAACACTTACAGCCATCACTACCCCCTGGTGCTGTCCCTGTGTCGGTAAATGATGAACGGTTACAGCCATCACTACCCTCTGGTGCTCTCTCTGTGTCAGTAAACGATGAACGCTTACAGCCATCACTACCTCCTGGTGCTGTCCCTGTGTCGGTAAACGATGAACACTTACAGCCATCACTACCCCCTGGTGCTGTCCCTGTGTCGGTAAACGATGAACACTTACAGCCATCACTACCCCCTGGTGCTCTCCCTGTGTCGGTAAACGATGAACACTTACAGCCATCACTACCCCCTGGTGCTGTCCCTGTGTCGGTAAACGATGAACACTTACAGCCATCACTACCCCCTGTTGCTCTCCCTGTGTCGGTAAACGATGAACACTTACAGCCATCACTACCCCCTGGTGCTGTCCCTGTGTCGGTAAACGATGAACGCTTACAGCCATCACTACCCCCTGGTGCTGTCCCTGTGTCGGTAAACGATGAACACTTACAGCCATCACTACCCCCTGTTGCTCTCCCTGTGTCGGTAAACGATGAACACTTACAGCCATCACTACCCCCTGTTGCTCTCCCTGTGTCGGTAAACAATGAACACTTACAGCCATCACTACCCCCTGTTGCTCTCCCTGTGTCAGTAAACGATGAACACTTACAGCCATCACTACCCCCTGGTGCTGTCCCTGTGTCGGTAAACGATGAACGCTTACAGCCATCACTACCCCCTGTTGCTGTCCCTGTCTCGGTAAACGATGAACACTTACAGCCATCACTACCCCCTGATGCTGTCCCTGTGTCGGTAAACGATGAACACTTACAGCCATCACTACCCCCTGTTGCTGTCCCTGTGTCGGTAAACGATGAACACTTACAGCCATCACTACCCCCTGATGCTGTCCCTGTGTCGGTAAACGATGAACACTTACAGCCATCACTACCCCCTGGTGCTCTACCTGTGTCAGTAAACGATGAACACTTACAGCCATCACTACCCCCTGATGCTGTCCCTGTGTCGGGAAACGATGAACACTTACAGCCATCACTACCCCCTGGTGCTGTCCCTGTGTCGGTAAACGATGAACACTTACAGCCATCACTACCCCCTGTTGCTCCCAGTTCCACACTTGTAGTCTCTTCTGTTGTGGTACAGTGCTAGTGGGCAGCCCTTTCTGTGGACAGCGTGACATGACACTCACGTGACACACTCCGGTGACATTCACCACTCGGCTGGCACGTCTGTGATCCAGCCAGCCTTATTGAGGCAAGGATTGGTGGATCACACAGATTTTGTGAGCCTCCCATGCCCACGAGACTGCACTGTGGTGATGAGGTGGCAATATAGCAAGTATATTGAGAACCCATCTCCCAAGGGTAGTATTATTATTGTGCATGTACATATTCAATGCGCTGCCAGATAAGCCTGGATTTTTTTTCCGGGCCCTCCGGTTTTTCTCTCCACGTTTAAAAACACGCGTTGGCTGCTATAAATGTCCACGTGATAAGCCACTTCGTTGAGCTACCGTTTGTGATGGCCAGGTCGCTTCTGAAAAAGAGCTACGTGGCTCAGTGGGGCCTTACCTGATAAAATACAAAATGTTTTAGTTTCATCGCTTTTATCACCGTTGTTATTGACGCGTGTTGCGCGTGACGCGACTGTGATGGCACAGGAACGAGCCGCTGCGGCGAAGGCTGCTGGTGGACCAGTGCGGCCTACAGCTGCTGGTGTCGCACATGCTGCGCTCCCCGGACCCCAGCTACGTGGTTCGCGCCACGGGGGCCCTGCTGGAATTCTGCAGCTTGGAGGGCAAGAGCGGCACCCCCTCTTCTTCTCCTCCTCCTCATCATCCTCCGCCGGGAAAATTCACGTCGGGAAAGTGGCGGAAGCCGCCGGGCTCGGAAGGCGGAGTCGCCTCGGCTTCGAGCAAACCGTCGGGCGCGCCGCCGCGGGACGGGACCTCGTCCTGCGGCTACGCGCGCTGCGTGGCCGACGACGCCGCCGCGGACGTGAAGTTCGTCCTAGACTGCGGCGCCAAGGTGTCCGCCCAGCGCAAACAGCTGGTGTCGCGCTCCGAGGTGTTCGGCGCCATGCTGCAGGGACACTACTCGGAGGCGCAGCAGTCGTGCGTCGCCGTCCGCAACGCGTCGGACGCCGCCTTCACGCTCCTCATGCACCACCTGCACGGCTGCTGTCCGCCGGCGTGCTGGGCGCTGCGGGCGGCGTACTCGCCCGACTGCGTGACGCCGCCTGCGGGAGAAGGGGCGGCGGTGGAGAGCGCCGACCCGGGACCTGCGGGGAGCGGCGAGCGGCGCGGGAAGCCGGGCGGCTCGCTGGCGGGCAGCCTCCTGGGCGAGCTCATGGCGCTGTCGAATCAGTTCCTGCTGCCGGACTTGAAGCGCGAGCTCACCGCGGTGGTGCGCTCGCGCTGCCTGCACGCCGAGTCGCTGCCGGCGGTCTACGCGTTTGCCGAGCGGCACTGCTTCGGCGAGCTGTGCCGCCAGTGCCTGGAATTCCTCCTGACGGCGCCGCTCACGATCGCACAGCGCAGCAGGGGTTTCTGGGAACTCTCGCAGGTGCAGTGCAACGGCAGCGAGATGGAAGCCACCCTCCACTCCGTCCTCCTGTCCTTCATTTAGAGACACGCGCGCCCAACAGCAGATGCGCCCATGATAAGGGTTGACATTGTTTGTTCACGCCGCTGCTGCTGCTGGCACAAGGGCCTCCACTCACGCTGAATAAATGTCTTAGAAGAGGTGGGAAAACCAACACCTGCTGGCCGACTAACTACGGTGTAAGCCAATTATACTGCTCGGTGAACAGAGGCGCCGGAAGATGGAATTGAACTGGCGACCTCTGGATTGCAGTTCCAGCGTGCTCATCATAACGCCACGACAGCAGCGATCCCTGCGCTGATGGACTCTGATGTTTAAAACTGACTTAACTTGACGGGACCTGCATCATGTTGACTTCACTCCACAGGTCGAGGCATTTCTGAATGGAGTTCATAAGTACGGATATCATGCCTTCACATAGCAGCGACAGAAATATATTGAAGTATATTGCAAAGTGACGCTTGAAATTAGTCTCGAGGTTCATTTGCTCTATAAACAAACAATACCCCACCTCGTTGCTTTGAATTTGTGGTATTTTTTTTTTAAACCGGAGCAACGTTTGGGACCATTGAACCATCATCGTTAACGTCTTAAGCCGTTGTCCGTCGACTGCTGGATTAGACAAGGCCCTCCTTAATCCATTGCTGTCCCTCGTGATCACGTGATGCTGCACTGCCAATGTTATTGACGGCGCAAGCCCTATCGTACAAGAGAAGCATAATGACTACTTTTTAAAACATCGCTAAAATGTTGATAAAATCCATTCTCTCAAGCTACATCTCATCCGAGCGTTCGTTAGTAAACCAAGTAACCCTTCAATATGCGCGACCTAAATCACCTGCTGCTTTGCCCGCATCTGAGCAAGCATTTGGTGCAACAAGGGGAAATTTAAGCTCGTATTTAGGGTCGTAACAAATAAAGCGCAGCTCGCAAACGCGCGCTCCCGCGCTTCGCGGAATACGTCGCCACAAATCGCTGAGCAGATCGACGCCTCTAAAGCCGAGTCTGTCTCTCCCCCCGCAAGCAACCAGTGGTGCAACTGCTCGCAACCGGCTGCAGACATCCACGTGAAAGCGGTTCACTTGTTGTTTGCGAAGGAAGTTGCATGTGAACGATCGCTCAGCTGTTGGACGGGCGCTTGAGAGTCGATATTTTGTCAAACTCTTTTTGTGGGGAGCGAGTCAGGACGAGGTCAATGGGCACCTTGTGTTTGTTTGATAATGTCAGTCGCGTTGAGCGATCCCTTCGCTGTAAGACATTTACACATTTCATTTGCAGGACCTGTGGCTATAGCACGAATGAATGAACTCGCAACCGTTGTCATTACTCCAGTGCCCTACAATGGAGAATTAATGAATTCAGTAGCCTCAGTTTTCGAGTGCTGGCTTGTTCAATGTAGTTTGTGGTAAGGCGGTGATAATGACCCACACGGTGAGTGAAATTAGTGCTTGTGCAATAATCAATGTAATGCGGTCCCTTTTGTTTAACTGACCGCACTCTTTACTATTTTGCTGTTCGATTTTATTTTGTCTTCCTTCCCCCACAACGTTTTCCCCGATTGCGCCACCATCGCCGCCGTCACCACGTTATTTGATGAAAAATGAATTCTCGCAGAGCGGCGCAACCCTTCGTTGTTAGAGAACGGCGCACGGAAGCGGATATCACAGAGCTAACTCTGCAGTGAGTAGGTGGTGGTGGGGGGGGGGGGGGGCATCACCAGATTTCCATGCGAGTGCAGTGTTCGACACATGACGGTTTAAACCAATTTTTAAATTCTTAGAGCTGGAATTTAGCCAAATTAAGTACAGAAACAAATTTAATAAGATGAGGTTTTTATTTTGGCACTTGGGCTGAGACCCATCAATTCGCTACATTTGACACGGCGAGCTGGATTTGAAACCATGACCTCAACTCTGCCAGCTAGGTGCCCTTTGACCTCAGAGCCACCTCTTCACTCGAAATATCTGGCGAGATGGGGCTGTGATTGGAGTTCTCGGCTCGCAAGCGCAACGTTGCTGTTGGGAGTCGGCCAACTCGTACCGCTGTGTGGAAGGCAGCAACGGTGATTGACCGATGGAGCGTCTGACTCCTTCTGCGGAGTTTGTGGATTCCCACCACCGCTAGCCTGAGGTAAAATCCGCACAATATGTAACTGATTTAAAGCTTTCGTGACTGCAGTAATTCATATTCTTAGCTCTTTCGGTAAAGTCACGTTGAAGGGAAACAATAAAATAATAAATATAAAACAATAAAAAAATTCTCACGACGTTTCGAAACGTCGTGAGAATTTTTATTGTTTTATATTTATTATTTTATTGTTTCCCTTCAACGTGACTTTACCGAAAGAGCTAAGAATATAATATGTAACTGGTTGAGAAGGGAAACATCTTGGCTTCTCTTGGCGAGAGGAGAACGGGCCAGTTCTCGTGTTAAAACTCGGGCGAACATATTTACGCGTGCGTCCTGGTGAGTGAATCCATTCGTTCAACTTCAGTAGTCTTGGCAACGACAGCAGAATTTCCAAGTTTGATTTTTTTTTCCTCATTCGAAGTTGTGGATGGTAAGGAATGTATTCTGCATAAATCGGCGCTCACTTACCGCACTTTCCCCAACAGTCTGTGAAGGCTATACAGGGGATCTTCGTTGTTTTTCAGTATGATTCATAACCTAGTCTTAATTGCTTCTTTTGTTTGCCGTAGAGTTTTCCTTCGTCTCCCAATTATAATTAAATTGTGCCATTCGACCTCGTGCTACGGGACACATTTCCATTCGGAACAGAAGTGCATCAACCTTGCGTTGGAGAACGCCCCAGAAGGTGTCACCCAAAACTCCTGAACTCCATAAAATCAGGGGTTAAGGGTTTGGGTTAGATCGTGTAAATATAAAACCCGCCACCAACGCGGCACAGCTAATTATTATTAAGGTTCGTCACGTAAACAAAACATTTCAATTTTAGTTACCAATGTCTCGAAAGCCTACGCGTTATCCCCAATCCCGTTCGGTTGGCTCCTTGTACACACGAGGCGGTGCGACATTGCGTGCGACGAGCGTTTGTCGATGCGGCAGTCCACAACGTACCAGTCTCAAAAATAGGAAAAAATCTGAATCAATTTAGAAAACTATTTTAATATTGGTTTCTTAATCCATTCACAATACAATCACAAGCGGCTGAAGCTCGGGATTCCTCAGCAGCGCCGGTCCATTGTCTCTGGAAAATGAAATGCATTCCAATATAAAATGCATGTAAAATTAAATTTAAATCAAGACTTACTCTGAATCGTACAATCCTGAAAAATAAAATAATGGTCCACCATTGCATGTTTTGAGGACAATTTCGCGGTATTTATTTCAATATGTGGATCCGTTATCATTATTTAATCATTTGAAGTGTCTTTGTGCTCACAGACGTGATGTCACCCGAGGCAAAGTGACACCACCTTTGGCAGGAAAAGCACAGAAGTGATGTAATGTGACAGCATACTTTGGAATATATCCAAAACGATTGTTTTCTCTAATACAGAAATTCGTATCGATGGCTCTTTGTGATTTTTTTGTTGATAACAAATGTTGGACCGTACTTAGACTATGATACGCAACGGCCTCTTGGGGCGGAGGGGTGTGGGGGGGATATTGCCTCCTCTCCCTTCCCTGGGTGCACCTCTTTCTCTGACACCATCCCCAGTTCCCCAAACCACTTCTGCCACTACCGTTCCCGCATTTTTAATAGCAATTCATTGCCCGGTTTAACAGGCTTTAATATTTCACCCCAGCAATGTCACAAAGTTCTCCACTGCAAAGTAAAACAACAACAACAAAAACAACAAAAGCCAAGTCTTCTGGATGCACTTGGTGACATTTTATTGTCGTGTTGCGCTGAAAAAAGTAAAAAAAACGTTTGAAGGGTTTTGGGAACCCAATTTGGATTCCTGCTACGTTTGCCCCCCTCCCCCCCCCCCGGAAGTTTTTGCCCATTTCTCACGCATCTTAGAAAAATGTCCTCACTACGGACATGAAACGTGACCTGCATTTACTCCTGCGGGGAACAGTGGGTGCCGTGCCATCGGTTGGCGCACTCCACTACGAAACCGGCGGCCCGAGGTTGATTGCCGGTCGCAGCAAACGGGAGCGATATCTCAAACGATTCTGCCTCCCGCCCCATCTTCACCAACCCACACTGGTCAATGTGATCAAGTGTGGTCAAAACAGCCCCTATGACTTGACACAGCGTGGGAGGGCGGCCTTGATCCAGCAGTAGATTGACATGAGGGCTGAAAGTCTTAATAGCATTATGCAGTACTGTTGAGGCTGTGTGTGAGGATTATAGCATTACAGTACATTATATCGCACTATAGGCTCTGGTCAGTGTCATATATCGTGTCACGTGATATCAGGTAAATATCAATAAAGAGCTACTTCTTGCATCACTTTTGTCACGTGACTAACTCCTTGAGTTTGCACTTCAGCAGTCTTGCTACCAGATGGAAGGGTGTTTCCTTACCTCTCGGTGTCGTAGACATTACTGTGGGGGGAACGTGTCGAGTGGATGATCAGTCTAGCAGAGGAATCGACTGAAAGTTGCAATTGCTTTTTTATGGCCAATTCCTTGGGGGGGCAGGGTGGGCGCTTAAAAAAATTGTAGCTGACAGATTCCCTGCCTCCCGAACGTTGCAAACCCCCTACAAGCCACGCCCAGCGTGACCGTGGCCGATGATGCCCATGCTGTCACTCAAGTCCCGCCCGTCACCACTCGTCCAGCGGCACGCACAGGTTCACAATTCAAATCCGGCGGCTGCCCCGCCTTTAAAGATCCCCTGACGCCATTCGCAAGAGTAGGCCATTGCGTGCCGGCGTCACGGTCCCAAGTTTCCCACATTGCAAAAGATAAAATACCCGCAAATTAATCTCTTGGGTTACACGAAGAGTAAGAGCTCCCCTTTACGTCGAGGGTTCGTTCATGAAAGGCGAGACGACGCGAATCAAAGAAGCGTACGGTGGTGGTGGTGGTGAAGGCTGAGACGAGGCGGATAACGAGAAAGGGGCCGTCCATAAATGACGTCACGCACCTAGGGGGAGGGGGGGAGTGAGAAATGTGACGTCACATCCAAATGCGCAACTTTAAATAAATATAGAATTGTTATAACAGCATTCCTACAACATCAGAGTGCAGCGCCACATTAAATACACACTACAATGACAATAGTTTAAAGCGATTTGAAGCATCGTTTTTTGAAATGGAAATATGGTTTTGGGGGGGGGTGCGGGGGCAGAGCTTTGTGACGTCATACTTGAGTGGGGGGGTCTGACTTTTTGTGACGCCGTGTGACGAGGGGGGGGGGGGGGGTTAAAAATTGTCAAAAATCGCGTGACGTCATTTATGGACGGCCCCAAAGGACGGGACGACGACGCTGCCAGCGATGTGGGGTCGAGGCGACGACAAATCAGGTAGTGGTGGTGTCAACAGTAAAGTGACGACGTATTTGCGAAACGACGTAAAAAGGGGAGGCGTAAATCAGGGTATTAGGGGCCGTCCATAAATGACGTCACGCGATTTTGGACGATTTTTGACCCCCCCCCCCCCCGTCACACGGCGTTACAAAAAGTCAGACCCCCCTCAAGTATGACGTCACAAAGCTCTGCCCCCCCCCCAAAAAAAATATAAACATGCTTATTTTAAACTATTGTCATTGTAGTGCGTATTTAATGTGGCGCTGCACTCTGATGTTGTAGGAGAAAACATGTATTAAAATTAAATAAATGAAAACAACTAAATTAAATCACGACGTTTCGGAGGCAACACAAGCCTCCGTCTTCAGGTGGAACAGTCACAGCAGAATATCTGTATCAAGTGGAGAGCTCTGAGACAACCGAGATTATATATACAGGTTAAGGGGGGGGGGAGGGCTGAGTTAAGGCGCCTTTTGTTATGCTGCAGGGGGTTCGGGGGGAGAGATGCACGAGTACACGCAACCCACTGAAAGCAATGGAAATGGCTGTGCAATAATAAGGCAGCTAAACTTTGACTTGGTTTATAACATCTTTTCAGTGGTTGATGCTGTAGGGGGTTCAGGGGAAGAGATGCACGAGGACATACATTGCTCTCAGTGAGCTGTTTCATTAGCAGGTGTAGTGGCAAATCGAGCAACAAGTATGGACGCAAAGTAGCTGTTTGGGTAGCTGTTTGTAGAGTTGAGTGTGGCACTAGATATGGCCGGGAGGGACAGCAGTAGGATACACAGCAGGAGAATTGCCGTCTCTAAAATATCCGGGGTAAACACTGATTAACACACAAGCGGAATATAAAAATATATATACTTGTAGGCCGAGCGCGAGAAAACGTCTTGCCGCACTCGTCACACATGCACGGCTTCTCGCCCACGTGCTAGGGTTGAACAGCGCCCCCCCGCCCCCCCCCAGACAGGGACAGCAGATTTGTGGCCGTTGTGGACTCGGCTGAACCGCTTGCACCGCCTCCTTTCCCCGCCGCAGGATGGTGCTCGAGCTAGCCCTCCTTGAGCTCAGCCCACGACTGGAATGTCGTTTCTTGGCCTCTCGTCTCTCTGCTGCCCGACCAGACGGCCCCACTGAAGCCCACACAGGGGAACTCTTCATTCACCACCCTTGGCCGTCTGCACCAGCACTCCTTCAAAACTTCATTCTGCTCTTGACGTCCTATTGACAAATGCCCCTCACAATTTCACACTGACTGGTGTTCTGGGTAATAACCTTAGTGATCACGCCTTCATTTTTGGGGTGAGATCATCAGCCTGACCCAAAGCCCCCCCTAAATTGTTTGAGAAGCACTCTATGAGACGCTTCAGCACTCAGGCATTTACTAATGATGTACTTCACTCGGATATTGACAAGGTCTGTGATATCCCCAACCTGACTACGACTTGAGAGACCTTCAGGTACACGTTTCTCCAAATTCTTAACAAACATGCTCCGTTGGTTAGATTTAAAACTAAAGGCAACCATCCACCATGGTTTGATCCTTTGATTACAAAGCTCATGAAAACTAGGGACAAGGCTTGGGCATGTGCTCACAAAAGTAATTTGGTCAAAGACTGCTAGAATACAGGATTTTAAGGAATAGATGCGTCAAAAAAAATACGGCATGCAAAAAATGCCTACTTTTCCTCCACTCTCCTGGAATCACATGGAAATGCCAGGATTTTCTAGAAAACAATCAAATGTATCGAAAAGGCATCCAAAACAGACAATCTGCCCGTTGAGTTTAACCGAAATGGCGAAT